ATCGGTCCTCATTTGTTTAACATACTTAAAATCCATACATCTATATTTACAACATAATAATTTTGAAAAGTTTAAGTTTACTGTATGAATTTGACAACATGAGTCACTTGTTTATTGTGTTTAGACAATGAAGTGTAACTGTTAGTTATTCTCACATAACAGTATTGGACTATATCTCATTGGCATATTTACTCCTAAATGAATGAAAAAAAAATCAAATGATGAAAATATAAAAACTCACGATTGAGCCTGAACAGACTTTAGTCTACACTCACAAACACACACACACACTACCAGTCCTTACTGAAAGATTCGCTGCTGGTGGGCTCTGCAGTGGTCAGCTCAGCAACAACCTACTGCTAACCAGCTACCAGCTCATGCTGAGAGCACACACACACATGCACAATTACACACACACACACACACACACACTGGGGGTACAAAGACAGCCCCGGCAGCCTGTCCACCATGGACCCTGAGCTGTAGCCACATTGCCCCCTGCTGGTTGACAGGAGAACATTTCCTCAGTGTGTCAGAAGGATTTAGATCCTTTACAAAACTAAAAGCAGCGGCTCCACTTAGACCTCCTCTCCAGTTACAGTAAACAAGCATCTGCACTAAAATGTTGTCAAGTGCCAAAGTAATCTTTCTCATTAGGAAGAGTGCTTGTTTCAGAGTTACATAATGTGCTAACAGATGCTGAGGAAACTGTAGCTGATGCTGGTGCAGCCCAGTCTTTATGCGTCTTTGAACTGATTTAAATGGAAAAGAAAGAAGTGCTTCAATACTTTTATACATCCCAACACTTTTTTTGTGCAGTTTAAACATGGACTTTACAATACTGCAGAAAGAGCTGCATAAAATTGAAATATTTACAATAAAAACCTGATACTTGTTCTTTTATATGAAATTCAATTTCATTCTGCGGTTTTTATGAGGTTTCCCTCTGTCTAGAGTTGATGTCAATAAACCATAAAGCAAAATAAAGTGTTGGCCTTAAGTCTTTCCAAAATATACAGGAAATGAGTCCATATTGGATGTATCCTGGTTTTATTGAGAGTCTGAGCATAAGCAGATCTCAGTCTGTCCACTCTCCTGATGAAGCCTCACATCCTGTAGTGAGACTAGTCTCTGAGACTTTGCACCTCCCAGAGCTAGTTTTGTATTTTTACATTTGATGATTATATGTTACTCATGAAATTTAATTCAAAATAAAAGCATGAGTATTTAAAAATGACCTGTAGCTTAATATTCATGTTGTGTTATCTAAAAAACAAACAGTATGACAGATAGTTTTTCACACCACGTGTTCAGAGATAAGCTACGTGTCGAGAAAATATAAAATACTGACAGCTGTAATGTAATCTCAGAACATATAACTACCGACCCACAATCATAAATCTGCCGCTAAGGGCCTAAACAATCATCTGAAATATCATTATATGCTGCAGCTTTAAGATTTCCATCATTTTCTTCCCTTGCAAAGTCCCAAGAGAAGAAATTAATCAATACAGAGTGAGTGGAGACAGAAATACAGACGGATGGACCAGAGAGGCCACATCCAGTCAGGATGGCTGAGTCATACTGGCTCCACAGGCTCCATCTGGACTATTGATTATTCATTTCTCATTGACTGTGCACATGTGGGAGAGGGAAAGAGTAATAAAACGGAGAGAGAGAGAGAGAGAAAGTAAGCCCAGCTGTCATCCATTGGTGTCCAGTAACATCTGAGTCCTGGTCATGATAACGTGAGTTTAATGGCTGCACGTGCTTTAATAATTATATATCTAAAAATGCTTAACTCGTGCTTAACTGTATAATCCACAAAGTCACAGATTTGCACAGCTTTAGAGCAGGATCTCAACATGGTACATGGTGAATAGTCACGAGAGATATTTAGATATAGATCCTCCTCACAAACCTCCGAACTTTTTACCTCGTACCATGTTGGAGGAGCTCACTGTGTCTCCGATTCTCTACTCTGACGTTTAGCTTAAATATAATTTAACTTATCTTAAAGTTATCTGAGTGAGGATTCATCTGGGAGGAGGAGGAGTAGGAGGAGAAGGGGGAGAGCGAGAGTTTAGTTTCAGAGACAGGAAGAAAAACACTTCAGTGAGTCTGACTGTTGGAGATAGAGAGTATATCGAGGGCCCCAGAGGGTGAAGTGGAAATGACTTTGTCTTTGACAGCAAAGTACTGTTGAGCAGCCCGAGGCTTCTTCCTTTTCCTGTCTATCCCTGCTTTCTCTCTCTTTTATTCATCTTCTGTTTCAGCTCAGTTATGTTTCACATCAGAAGAGGAGAAAACAATATGATTACGAAAATTGGCAGCACAATACACAGGAAGGGGAAAAGAAAAAAAATGCAGAAACAAGAACCCCACTGAGATTTGGTTCAATGCTCTCAAATCAAGCATTATTCAGTAATCAGAACAGAGTAGAGAATGGGTACTTGAAAGCAACAGCTTTTTAATTGAATCAAAAGTGGAGTTCAACTTAAAATAATCAGTTGATTCAATATATTTCAGTTACACTCCACTGATACAACACATGAAGTGTATTTCACTTCTACACACTGACTGCAGTGAGATCATCCCAGTGATCCTGAATGTATTAAAAATGTCTTCAGCATGACTCTTTAGAAGTCTACAGGCTGATGGTACTTTCACACTGTGTAACGCTGAATTCAACTTAACTCTGAGGCACTCATATCTATAAACAGAAATCATCATTTGAGTGAAGTGTGTGGGTTCACAAGGCACAAGAGTTTGATATCTATACATTTCTGGTTTCCAGTTGTCGTCCACTTTGTTGTATTCACGAACAGTGGAACAAGTACAAGCACTTTAATGCCTGAAACCACAAATTGTGGCCAGAAAATTCAAATGTTTTTGGAGCTAAAATGTTTATTTCACTTACTACTGAAAACCAAACAAATCAAAATGTCCTAAAATTTAACAAACATCTTGGAAACTGATAAACCACAAGAGGACATTTTTATCATTTATCGGACTGTATTCAGGCATTTTTTATTTTTAGTAATTTTTTTATCATATTGATTTGATAGAAGTATCATAAAAATATGTATCAAATATGATTCAAAAGGCATTAAAGGGATAGATTAACTCTCTGCAAGTAAAAGTACACTTACCGTCAACCTCACATAGAAATAAAACCATCTTAATCAAGTTCACATTGGTTTGAATTGGTGTAATGGGCCATGTCCCCCGATTGGAAAATCTTTTTTTGAGAAGAAACAGCTCTGACATGATGTAATGTTGACTCTGCATCTATCCAGATTGAAGTTCTCACATATATTTACCATGTATTTTGTTAGTATTGCACTTTATAGACGGTCCCTGCACACTCAAGTCATGGCTGAACTGGTTTGGTTATGCAGTGTCACACTTTAAACAAACAAGCTGTGAGAAGAGTCACCAAATCATGATGATCATGATGACCAAATCTAGTGTGGCCATGATAAATAACTGGGGCTTTGACCAGACCCAAGAGGGTCCAGGGGCGTGCTTCACCTGACTCTCCAGGAGGTTTTCTCCTCCTGATATATGAGCTACTCTACAAGTCATATTAGATACAAATGTTAAGAAACAATGAATGATTTATTTCCTCCTCACTAAAACTTTCTCCAACTTTTGGGGTTTGAGCCCAAGAAGCCATGGGACTGAAAATAAGACAACCCAGGAACCTTAAAAACTGGACCTATAATGAAAAGTTAAACATGTTTCATCACTTATTGATAATGTTCAAAGATCTAAGGAGCCAAAATTTGATAAATCTCTCTTCTTTCACACCCAGAACTCTCGCCTTCTCTCTCACTAATTACTTTAACCTATCAGCATTTTTCAGTTGCTGTGGAGATCACATAATCGTCATGGCAACCCAGTGGTCTGTGTGGTGGTGGTTGTGGTGATGGTGGGGGTTTTATCATGCAAGAAGGTGAGATAAGAGTTAATTTCTTCTTTGGTAGATAAAAGAGGCGCTGGTCTGTGTCACTGAGATGTTTTAACCTCACAGAGACAGATGTGACATAGAAAGGCCGAGACCCTGATCAGCGTACTGCGTGTAGCCCCCATCTGACATAGTACTGATGAGAATATTTCAATGAATGAGACAGTTTAAGCCTCTGATTTTTACTCTAATGCAACAATCTACCAAAGGAAATATAAAACATTAAAGACACAAAGAGGGAATAGAATAGACCTAATGCATCTTTCCATTCCTAAGTCATTTCTGCCCACCGGTGGATTTCTTTTGATGTGGTTCTAGCTTTTGTCTAAAAGAACGATTTGCATAAAATAGTTTTATTTGACAGTGTGGCTCTATTTGGAGAGTTCCCTGTGTGCATATGTGGAAACCAAAGCGTGCAACACCTCCACTCCATTTCATATATCTATATAAAAAGCCAAGGCAGGGAGAGCAGCAGCAAAGACCTTGAGGATACATTGAAAATGCATTTGATTCTGCTAGATTCAGACACAGCACAAAGAGGAGGGGCTAATCAGATTAAAACAAAATACATGCAGCCCAAACTCTGTTAAAATCAAAGAGGGAAATTACCTCTTTTGGTATTATGATGTGAAAAAATATTGAAAATTTTAGAAACAATGGTAAATTACTAAAATCGGATATGCCCTGTGTACAGCTGTCCCCGCATAGTTGTCAAACCTAAAACATTTGGCTAACTGCAAAGTAATCTTGTAGGAGAACTTTCTTCGACCCCGTATGTCAGCTTTACTTACTTAAGCAGCATTTCTATGCTAAACATGCAGAGCAGTTTTCTTCAGTAGGTACAAGGGAGCCCTAGACAACACTCAAGTCTTTCCATCAAAACTCTGAAGCGGCCCTGCAGGAGAGGAAAAACCTGTCCAGTGGCCCCTCAGGTCATTTAATTATCAGACCATCTAAACGAGTGACTGAGGAAAACTTGACTTTCAGATTCAGTCCTCAAGTGTGGATTTACTGCAAATTTTATTATCATCAGCTGCCATAGTGAGAGACATGAACATTTCTATAACGTAAACATTTCTTTAAAATTTGTAAAAACTGACTGCAGAATGATTGCACATTAAAAACCCAACCTAACAAGTTTTCACACAGCATCAGGAATCGACCTCATCTGCAGCCACACTCGTCCACCACCATGTCCTGGTAGTGTCTCAGCACCACGTTGTCGTTGTTGTCGTAGTACAGCATAGAGATGGGGGACAGGCGGATGGGAACGCAGCAGGGCTGTGGAGTGCCTTGTGGGTCCAGAGAGTGGACCAGGGTTTGCAGGATGGCGTGGTTGGTACCGTTCAGACTCTCGCTGAGTGGGAACGGACACTCGCCGTGGCAGTAGTTAGCCATGTAACCCTGCGGAGCGATGATCCAGTCCTGCCAGCCCACATCTTTGAAGTCGATGTAGAGGCGACGTGCTTTGCACACGTTGCTGGGAGTGACAGGGAGATGGACTGCACTTCGTCTCTGTCTGGAGCGACACTGATGGGGGTTTAGGGACACGGCAACCAGTGAGGCCTGGACCAGTGGAAGGGTGAAGGCTGGTTCCAGTGGAAGGGAGTTCCCAGGGTGGAAAGGAAGAAGCTCATCTGGATCTGCATCAAGAGGAAGAAGCTCTAGAATCAAACCATAGTTGCGTCCTGGTTTCCTCCAGCTCTCCGCCAGTGAGGTGAGGTCCAGGGTGATGGAGGCAGGGTCAGGCTGCAGCTGCACTGACTGTGACAGCAGGAGTCTGCGGTTTGCCTGAGGGTTAGCCCCCCTCAGTGTGGCTCGGATCACTTTGTAAAGAGACACGCTGAGGGCCCGGGGCCCCTGCAGCAGCTCTGCAGAGCTGAAGGGCTTCCAGTGGAACTTGATCTCCAGCTGAGCCAGAGACAGCAGCTCCACAGGCTGCAGCACCGACATGTTGAAGAAGAGCTGCTTCTCCACACAGAGCTGACAGCTGCTCCAACCAGACACCAGCCTGCCTGCAACCCACAGAGGGAGGGGGGAGGGAATCATAGGGAATAATTGTCATGACTTATTACTCTTCGCTCTACACACACTAAGCTTTTCTCATCCTGCATTTGACACAGTGATGCTGAGTTTAACTGAAGTACGTCTGCAGCAGTAGCATTTAACTACCACTACTAATATGTCAGTTTCAAACCTTTGGATGTGGGCATGCTGGTGCTCAAACTTAACCATTTTTTCAAATCTCATAATTAAGTTTATGTTTTCCTTTTTTATATCCCAAATTTAATATTTGGTTGCCATTCAAGTTCTGACAGTTCTGACTCTAATTATTTGATTATGCTATATTTACCAAACATCCTTTATTTTATTGGGATTGATTGTGAATGAAAATATGTATTTGGTCATTTTCATACGGTGGCCGAGAACCGCCACTGCTGCAAAAAAAAAAAAAAAATGCGCAAAAAAAAAAAAAAGAAGCCACAATAGAAATTACTGGTGCAAGAAAAAAAAGAAACCGAAGCCTGCTGCAAATTTTAAAAAGGCGGTGCAGATAAAAAATAAAACTAAAAATTAAAAAAGCCACAACGAAAGTTAATGATGCAAAAAAAAAGTTAGTTACTGCGAAAATAAAATGGTGCAAATAAAAAAAGCCACAACGGAAGTGAGCTGCCGTGGACCAATAATGATGATGCACAGGTTTTTTACGATTTAAGCACAGAAAACGACAGCGAGAAGACGAGCGAAGAAGTAAGTGGCAAGGTTATTGTTTAATTTTGCTTCATGTGCTTTTCAATATGTCATTTGGTTCGGCCATGTAGTGCCTGAGTCGATATAAAGTTGAACTGGAAGACGCCGGTGTAGTATTAGCTTCAGTTCAACTTCATATCGACTCAGGCGCAACATGGCCGAACCAAATGACACATTGAAAAGTACACGAAGTGAAATTAAACAATAACCCTTCTGTGCCTAGTTCATAAAACACCAGTGCATCATCATTACTGGTCCCAACAGCTCAATTCAGTTGTGTCTTTATTTTCCATCACCACTTTTTTTGCACCATTAACTCCCCTTATATTTTTTTTTTTTTTTTTTTTGCTAATTTAACTGCACCATTTCTTTTCTTATTTGCAGTGGGCTTCGATTCCTTTTTTTCCATCAGTAACTTCCATTGTGACTTTTTTTTTGTATTCCAGCAGTGGTGGTTTTCGGCCACCGTATTTTCAACCCCTTCTGCGATCTTGACAACCATCTAAAACTCACTTTAACCATGCTGACCATGAGCCTACCTTGGTCCTGTACGTATCGGATGATGTTCCCGCGCACTCCGTACTCAGACACCGTGCAGGGGTCGCTCTCCTGGGCCTGAATGTTTTCGGACTTCCGGAACATCTTCCACAGCGTGGAGGGGACGTGACGCCGGGCCTGGAGGCTCGCCGCGGGCCGGGGCCGACCAGAGAGGCCGAGGGAGCTTAGAAAGAGCCGCTCCTGACTCTTCATCTCCTCCACATGTGAGAGGGCAAACACACCGTGTAAACACACCGCTAAAAGCAACAGAGGAGACAGGTTTGGCCTCATTTTGGACCCCGGACACGGTTACTCCCTGTTTACTTTGGTTCTCACCTGTAGGTTTGCTCCCACAGAGCGCGAGACGAGTATTTGAACATGGCAGACCTCCCGGTGAGCAGCTGCTTCATTATGTTAATGAGAGATAAGGTAAAAGGGGCGGGGACACAAACTGGTCTAAAGTCAGATCTTCAGAAATCAATTAGATTTCCAGCTCCATCTCAACAAAAAGTCATTTTTAAAACCATTTTTGAATGTTATACAGATGAATTGTGTGAATCAAAGTTTCTTTTCCATTTCAGGAAGCAAAATTTTTGTTTGTTTTACCTTCCCTACACTTTCATTCAAAGATACAAACCTAAGCAAAAACCCAGAGCTGGACCAAGCCTCAAAGGGGCCCTAAGCAAAATTTGATTTTGGGGCCCTCTATTTCTGCCAATGATATTGATTGCTGATCATTCACACATCTTCACAAATCTCATTGATTAACATTCCATGACATGCAAACACACCTTTATCTTGGTGTTTTTTCTCCACTTTCTCTTTCTTTTCTCTGCTCCTGAAGGATTTGTCCTTTTTTACAACATTGTTTTGCACCACAACTACCTACTACTGGCCATGGGGCCCCAAGCAGGCGCTTAGTTCGCTTATGCCTTGGGCCGGCTCTGCCAAAACTAGAAACCTTACATCTATGTACCAAATATATTATGATTTTGTCTGATAAATAAAGAAGTGAGTTAGCTCATTTCATAATATTTTTTTGTCTGTTAGGGTTGTTAGAGCCAAAGTTCAGAGGCAGTGGTTTAAAGTTCTTGCATTAAAACACACAAAAAGTAAATAAAAAAAACACCTTAACAGGCTTAATAAGCATATGCGTTCATTCAAATCAAATTAAAAATGTTAAAAACACATTTGAGATTATCGTCTCTTCTACATAAATTCACATGGAAAATTTAACATAAAAATCCCTTTATCGCCCTCCTGTGGTTACATCAGAAATTACATTATACTCTTCATCTGCTCATAACTGGTAATATGCCTAACACCATACAAGTCTACTGTACCTTGTGACTTTGTGGCTTTACATGCCATGATAACAGGAGGGGTGGTTTTAGTCAGAGGTAAAGTCAATACATTAAAAATGTCACACAAATAGAGAGGACAAAAATGAGAGCCGAGGAAGGAGCAGTATGTGAACTCACAGCAGTGTGGTCTGCCAGCACTGTCTGCAATAGTGGGTTTACTACGCCACCTGCTGTCTGTTGTAGGTACCTCTGTCAACCGGAGTATGCACTCAGTGACCCCCAATCCGCTTCCTTAATGAAAAAGCACAGCATGACAAAACAGACAACTTTCTTTTCTTTCCTTCCCCCCTTTTTGCCCACAGTTCTGTCTCAGGACCCTTTCACAGATCTAGCCCCCCCCTGTAGAAGATTTTAACACTCAATTGATAGCACCTTTAAAGATAAAGGACTTAATCCAAACAGCAGAAACATTCACAGAATGCCCAAAGGTGTAATTACACCAATTTGTTGTTGTCAGGCACAAATTTTTCTCCAAAAGGACTACTTTCCATGGAGTCAAAAATGACCTTGTTTTAATACTAATACTAAGATACTATAACCTGGGAAACAGATATTTTTCAGCTCTTTCTGTTGTTTTAGAGGCTAAATAAATAACAGAATTAGTGAGTAAATAGACAATAAATTTAACCAGTCGTCAGATTAAGCTAAAACATGCAGTAAAAACAATACTAAAAGGGAAAACTTCAAAATCACTTGCAATCCTGTACAGTCGAGAAAAGTATTGAATTCCAAGGCCTTGCATTTAATTACGACTCATTGATTGTTCCCTGTATATCTTACTCTGTGGAACTGTGGGGATCCACCTTTAAAACCATTATAAATTCAATAATAAAACTGCATAATGAGCTATACGTATTATCAATTAGACTGATTATTATGATCACACGGAGCCACTTTTTCTAAATTCTCATGTTATGAAATTTTATGTTTTATTATAAAATAATGCAAATTATGTTTAGAGCAAAACCAAAAATGCTCCCCGACTCAGTAGTGTTTGCAAATTTACTGAACAAAAAGCTAAAAAAGGTATGAAAAGGAGATGTGTCTCCATTACTGGAGTTAAATTCTGGAATGATGCCAGCATAAATCTAAAAACATGGTTTTCTTTTTTGGTTTTTAAGAAAATGGTTTGTAAAGCTGTTTATGAAGTTCATAAGTGCGATTAATTATCTGTTGTTGTGGTTTCTTTGCTTTTCTGGAGGTCGGTAGCCAAGAAAAGTTGACAATACAGGATAGGCTTTTATAAGGAGTTTGCTTCTGCCTATGCCTTTTCAGTCAATATTAACACATGATTCTTGATTAAGTGATTTTGTGTGAAATGTCAATATTGTGTACAATATTTGGTGTTGTCATGACTGAATAAACGACGTCTACTACTACTACTACTTAGTGCTGTTTGACTTGATTTTTATGTCTGCAGCAGGTTTAAATTTCCTGGAACCTCTAACAAAAAGCCTGAAACTAGAAAAGTTGAATGGATTTACGCCACACACAGAGTCAGTTCCATTGATTTTTTAATATAGTTGGCAATCAAAGATGATCTTGATTTGAATCATTATTTACAGATCAGTATGTACAGTGGTCAAAGAGGAGTATGGGGGCTGTAGTGGGGGAGAGGAGGGGGCAGAAGTAGCTGACAATCATTCTTTTAAATAAATGAATAAATAAATCCAGCCACGACTTATTTCATTCATTTATTTAACACCTAACTAACAGTATGTGTGCATAGCTCGGACACAGATTTGGCGACGCACACACACCTCGCACGCACACATACAGAATAAATATACACACACTGAATATGAACAATCCACTGAAGGGTCAGACAATAGATAGACAATAATGTGCATTGGCTGATCCTTGATTAAAAGTCACACACACTCGCACAGACACACACGCCCACACACACATACATACAGACCCTCACACTTTCACAGAACTACAGCAGAACAGATACACACGACACACACCGCCACACTCACACCGAGCCTCTTAAGTCATCACTAGTTTGAATCTGAGAGCTTTGAGATGTTTGCATTTAAGTCAGAGAAAATAAATCACAGCTTTGGATTAAAATACACAGTGAGAGTGTTTTTATTCATAGGTCAATCCATAACCATCAAAGAGTCTTCATACTGCAGGAACAAGGACTAATATTTGTTGTTTAGCTCGTGTTGTCTGCAGCCAGCTGCTCTTGGCTCCTCCTGGTGACTGGCTGCAGTATAGGTCACAGAACCTGCCCCACTTATGTTAACATGATCATAATGGAGCATGAATCAAACCGGACAATTACGCGCTAACTAATAAATCAGCATGATTTATGTTCCTGCAGTGTTTTATAGAGCGGAGGGGGGGAAAGCCATTAACACAAGAGTCACTGAACTGTTTATAACTGTGAATGTAAGACCTCAAACTGACACAAGTACCTGTTCATGTGGACTGTACCAACCTGAGGGAACTTTGATGTTCTGTCACTAAGTTTAATGTGCGTTCTAGTTAGTTAGAGGGCTGCACTGCCAGTCAAATCTCCTCTGTGGCATCCAAATGTACCGGTTTCAACTGGAGTGTTTCGGCTGTATTTCTTCTCAATGGATGGAGATAGAGAGTATATTTACATACAGCCAGGCTCGCACCTTAACCAGACAGAAAATACTGAGTGAATTTAAGCTGATCGGAAGAGTCTGTGATGATTATTGACGTCTCTATGCGCTGAGGCTTTTCTGACCCGCCTGGTGACATAATTTCGGATGGGAGCCGCTTATTTTCACGATTCAAATGCAAACATTGAGGCCAAACCCTCGATTATTTAAGTGCTGATGACGGCAGAGGCTCAGGAACAGCACGTACAGCAGGACACACTCGGTCATGGTTACAGTACTTCAGTAGCTGATCGAGGCGTACACACATGGAGGGCTTTGGTGCATCATGGGACAATCAGGACTGTTTTCTTCAGCTCAGAGGAGCACGACAGGCGCCGATCTGATCGATCAGTCCATATATATTTATATATTTATGTATTTATAACTATAAATCCATCCATGAGCTATGTACAACATATGGCAAAGAAAACTCTTATTTAAATCTTATCTGCAGATGTCATTGGCTCATCACTGTGCTAGTCCGTAATGTCTCCAGTGATGTGAACGTTTCATGCTAAGGGAGGAGTCCGGTCTTCCACATGGACTCATGGACCCGATTCACCCCGGAGTAAAAGCTCAGCAGAGTCCGTCCAGGTTTTGAGTTCAGTTCTGTCGGAAGAGAGCGTTTGGTTTACCCACCAGGGTCATGTAGCGTTGACCTCCATGATGTGGTCGTCGGTGGCGGGCAGCACCAGGACTTGTTGCGTGTTGCTGTGGTTGAACACCTGACCGGGGCTGAAGGGCTCCAGGCGCGGCATAGACACGCCCCTCTGCTGCTGGTCGCCGCTGCCCACAGAGTGCACGCTGCCCCGGCTGCGGATGCTGGCTGTGTCTGCCTGGTCGTCCAGCGTCTTGTCCAGCAGGGAGAGACTGTCGTTTTCCACACAGCTGTCTGAAAACAGAGAAGAAAAAATATATCAAAGTGGTTCGAATGATATTCTAGCATGAAGATCTCAAAATGTTGCAGTAAAACATTTCGCAGTTATGTCAGGTGAGTTTATTAGTAAGGTTTTTAACGAACATGTCAATCAATTCTCATCTCACTTTGCCTTCACTTGACTGATAGTAAGTTTTCTATAAATAACACAATAATATGATCATAATTTTTTTGGGCCATGAAAATCACAAGGTGAAAAGCAGCCAGTAGAAAAGCGTGGTTTAAAGTGCAGAGTGGTCTTACCAGGGTCCTGCTGAGTGGCCACAGCTGCAGTGTGAGGCAGGTACTTCAACACTTTAATCTTGGGGAAGGGCAGGTGTCCTGCAAACAGAGGCATCACCTCGATCTGCACCTTGTGGGTGGCGTTCGCTGTCATCGGCATGGATACCATCCCTGAACTCTTCCCACACACGGCCCAGTTACTGCTGCTGTCAGCCACTGCGGACACAAACAGAAACATACACTTACTCTCTTAAATGTCTAATTTGTTGCTTCTAATTTTCACGTTTTCACTTTTCTTCATATTTTAGCTTGTGTGTGTGTAACTCATTAAGCTCAGGTACGATCAAAGACTTGACTAAAGCTACTGTGAGCAGTTTTTATCTGGAAATGAAATGGACTGAAAATAATACCGACGTGTTTTTGGATAAACAAGACCATCAGTGACAGATGAAAGCGTCTCCTTGCTGTAAATGTTGATGCCTTAAGGCGAGAGGTTAGTCGTCAGAACAAGACAGCTCTTAGCACAACAAATTTTCCTGGCCAGTGATACGTTTGAAGTTTAAAAGGAAAAAGAGTTGCATTTTATGTCAGATAAATACAGGACGATACCAAGGATGAATTGAGGTGTACTGCTTTGCCTAAAGAGGACGCTAAAAACTAGCAAATATGCAAAGTTCCTTACAGGGAAAGACTCAGGGGAGAAGGAGGAGCCTGTTGCTCTCATGCTTCTAAAACTAATGTGATATATTTATTACCTGTAAAAACATTTATGACAATCATAAAATATCTGCCTGTATCAGTGTTGTAAGCCACCCTTTTAGAGGTGATGGGTGTGTTTTTGTTTTCAGACTGACCTTCATACATAAGTTTGGTGGTTTTTAGGCCATCAGTGTCAGTCTTGCTGTCCTCTGTGATCTCCCCCTCTCCGGGCTCAGTCAGCCGTGTTATACACACCTCCAGCCCACAGAGGAGGCCAGAGCGACAGTGCTGCTCCCCAGAAGGAGGAAAGATCTCTGCTTTCACGCTGTACAGTGTCTGACATAATCAAAACAGAGGTTATTAGAGAGGGAAGAGACAGAGTCAAATTTGGGCTGCTAGAGATCTATTTAAAACATGATATATTATTATTTTTTAAACGAGCGCTGAGGTGGACTTACAGTGACTCTCTCGAGCTGGAACTGGTAGTGGAAAGGTTTGAAGGCGGTGACGTCTTGGTTGAGCGGGGAGAAGTTTGCAGAGAATACACACTGCAAACATGAGGGCAGGTCGTCCTTCCACCTCACCTCCCACAGACAGAACACACTGTGCTTACTGCACAAAAGCTGCACACACAAAAACACGCACAAAGACAGATAAAAGAAGACATCTTAGAGGTGAAAAAGCTTCTTTAGGTTTCAATTCAGTGACAGAAACGCTGTCTGCATCATCCTAACTTTCAGTATCTTAAAGTTAATCAGAGCTGTGAATTTAATAAAAAAAAACTGTTCAATCTCTTCCTTCTTATTTCTGAAACATGTCTATGAATCCTTCTCACTCATTTCCATCACCCTGAAGAATCTCAAAGCTCACACTCTGAGAAAGCTTTTCTTTCTCTTCGTCCACGCTGAGATAACTGCCGTCGGCAGAGTTTCAGCACTTCTCTTCCTGCTCACCTGCTGAGTTTTAGTGTTGAGGGACTGCAGCTCCAGCGACGCGTGCTGCTTCTCAGTCAACTTCACTTCTGCCAGCGTGAAGCTCACATCGGACACATTCTGCACGCACACTTGGATGTACTTCCTGTAGAGTCAGGTCAGGCATGTATGATGGAAAGGATTTGTCAGAGTTTGTGTTGAATTTTCTTTCCTTTTACATTTCCTTTCTTTTTCTGATGTTTTTCTAAGAGTACCATCTCACATGTTGATATTATTTTTTCATTTCTGAGATGAAGCTGTGATAAAAAGGTATTTCTCTTTAAAGGTAAACTCACCTGTTACCAGCAGAAAGCAGTGAGTGTTTGGTCTTGAAGGGGATGTAGAAGGTAAGGGCGAGTAATGTGGAGTAGATAGACCACGGACAGTCGATGGACATCTGCAGAGAGAGGACAGCGTGACTGTAATCTCTTTAATCCCAAAACAGCTAAATCAACCGATTAAACAGACACAACTTACTAACTTACAATTAAAAAGAGAAAATATTTATCAAGTTAACGACTGTCATGCTTTAGAAATTTATAGGTCAGCAATTATTATCTTTACAAAGGTACGAAACATAAACACGAAAACTGTTTTTTACAATTATAATTTTCTCCACACAGCAACTTTAAAGTGTGTGCTGTCTGAGTGCCCTACCCTCTGGTCAATGGCGGTCATAGGTGTGTCAGGGTGACTGTAGCTGCGTGGTCTGTGGCGGACCTCCCCGTTGGTCAGCCTCTCATTAGACGGCCGATCAGACCCGGACGGGATGACGCACAGAACCTCCAGCTGGAACTCCAGAGTGTGGTACGGCTGGCAGGCGGGCAGGCTGATGCTGGTCACTTTCTCCGAGGACTGGATGGACAGGACGCTTTCACCCACCAACTCTGAACACCAGAGGAGAACAAGAGACGGACAAGAGAGCAATGAGATCATAGAATCACACTCCAGGTGATTTAACTGCAAGTTCATAATATCAGAGTCCTGACCAGCGGTGGGGTTGCTGATGCGGGCGGTGCAGCTGTTTGAGGGCAGGATGGGCATAGTGTCTGTGTTGCTGAGCTGCAGAGCGTCTCCTTTCTTTACAGCGTAGTGACCCGTCAGCAGAGTGAACTTCACCATCTGAGGCAGACCAGCCAACAGGGGCTCTGAAAACACAGATTAACACACAATTACAGCCAAACAGCAATACTATAGTTGCTATAGGGGTGATTTGTACGTCATTATAAACATGATCAAAGGAGCTGGAATTAATGATAGAGCGATGATCCACACCTGTGAGAGGCTCCACAGTGAGTTGAGGCTCCTGAGAATAGACCTCATACTGGACTGATGGGTAGATATGAGGCAGCACGAACTGCACCTGACCCACTGTGGCAAACAGCTGACGCAGTGTGTAAGAGCCTGGTTGTCCACTCTAGAGAGAGAGAGAGAGAGAGAAAGGGAGAAAGTCTCATTTTCTTATCTTTCATCTCCATGTCAGACATCACAGAGCTGGTTATTTGAAACAGTCACATTAAGATTTTTTATTTCTAGTGTCTCTTACTGGTGCTGTAAAGATGATGCTGTTGTTCCCGGGCTCCAGCGTCACATCCTGCACTTGCAGCATCTGTGCTCCCTCCTTCACAGCCACAGTCGGCGGGCTGACACAGTTCGGTGTGTCCGGAGGTGAACTGCTGTCATGACGCCGCATGAGCAGATGAGTGTTTTTACACACCACTCCTGTGGAGTTTAAGGAATTGTCCGAGGGACTCCTGTCCTGGATCTCGTCCAGCTCTAAAGCGGGACAAACCAAGGAGGAAGGGGGTCCTGCTGATGAGTTAGCCTGAATAAACTCCACTGTCCCTGGGTTTGTTTGCCTCAGAGTTCCCTTTGACCTCCCGTTTGTTCCTCCACGCTCCAGGTCAAAGTGAATACTAGCAGCTAGCTGCTGTATTCTCACCGACACGGGCATCAAACAGCGCAGAGTGAGCTCCACCTGCAGCACGGCTCCAGAGTGCACCGAGGCTGTGGCTGGATGAAACTGAAGGCGAGTGAGCTGAGCGAAAACACCCAGACTGAGGGTGACTTTAGGAGCTGTGGAGAAAGAATATCGCAGGTGTCCACAGATTAGGAATGAGAATTTAGCTATTACACACAGTTGGAGGAGTTGATAAAAGAAGAGAGTAGAGTCAAAAAAGCAGATATATAATACAGAAGGACTGGACAGTTTAAGGACAGTTGTATTGCATGCAAATTTATGTGGCAAGACAGCAACAGGTCACTATTTCTCCTGAGGATTTAGAACAGATGAAGTGGAAGACAAGTTAATGTTATCAGCTGCATACAAAGAAGAAACAACATCAGAGAGTAGAGATGAAGTTCAGAGTGAACATCAGTTGTTATCACTCACCCTGTTCGCCAGACTTCCCAGCAAAGCTCAGGATTTCTTGGCAAAAGTGCTTCCTCTCCTCTGTGGTCAGATTCACATCACCAGCCAACAAGGCACTGGTCTGCAAGTAGCTGTGGTGGACGGATCGTAAAGGAAAACAAACGCTACAAACACATTTGATTCGATCACTGGAGCAGCCTACTGTAACCATGACAGCGACGATCAGATTGAACAAAATCAAAGTATGACATTTTTAATAAGAGTTTAAACTACAGGAAAGTTTGTGATGCTTGTGATGGTGAGGATACTCTTCGGTTCTGCCCAGCAGCTTCTGACATTCAGCGATCTGTTTCCTGGTGTGAGTGACGGGGAGGCTCCACCCCTCTGACACGTAAGACTTCAAGGCTTCCTGTAGGAAAGTTTCCGCCCGCTCGGGGTCTCCCTTTCTCCTGGTAAACACACAAACACACACATACGCAGATGCGTCACTTTGTTTTTCACACATCAAGTCCTCAGTAAGTAAAATAAGAATACCACAAGCTGTCAGAGCTCATATATTATCGAGTTAAGGGTCTGAGTATGCTGTGACAATATCTGCAGAATATTTAAAAGCGGAAACCAAAGGGTAGAGAGAAGCTGTCACTGCATGATGAACTGGACCGCTAAATAAAGGTCTGAAACTTGCCTCTCATCTCATTCAAAATGTTCTCCCACCCATTGCACCAGATGAATGTTTTCATTTATTCGGCCTGATTAAACCTCCCCTCTCCTCAGGAATGTGTGGGTGTTTACGAGAACAGAATGACAGTTCAGCAGAAGAGCCCACTTCCACCGCAATGAGCAAAAAATAGCTGTGTGTTTCTGCACCCTGTGGAACTTTTAAAGTGCCTTACATGTAAAACTCGGCCAGGCTTTTCCCCACCAGCCTGGCAGACCTGAGCCTGCCGATGGCTCTGTACATCTCCATCGCAGCGTGAGACAGCTCCTGATGCAAGAGGTCGCCAATGAGGTGGTTTTGTGGTGGCGGGGGGAACGAGGGTTAGAGGGTGAGAGAGAGGAGAGAGGAAAAAGATTATCGACTTCACAGTTTCCACTGAGGTTGCTAAGAAATTACATCAGGAAAAAAAACATGACACATAAAAAAATCAGGACAGAAATTTAGAGAATGTGTGAACTTCCTGTTTTGCCCGCTACTGAGCTGTCAGAAGGAAATCCACTTACAAGATAGTGCCTCTCGAAAGCTTCCACTGAGGACAGCGCTTCCTTCAGCTTTTTGTAAGGGCTCTGCAAACTGTTGACTGTGGAGGGAAACAGAGCAAAAATCAAAACAAGGCAAAGACACTTGTCTGTAGTCTCGTCTGTAAGCGGCTCTGTCACGACACCTTTTGAGAAGGATTGGCTGGACAAGCTCATGCAGGAGATTCCCACATTTGATTTCGGGATAAATTGAGCTGAACTGGATTAACTGTGTCAAGTTCTTTAAGATTAAAACTGACTTGAATTAGAACAGCTTTTATATATTTTCATCTATTTTCATATTTTATATTTTCATATATCTTCATCTCTACAGATAAAAGCTTCATTGGAACACACAGCGCAATATGTGCGTAAGATGTGAATATATATTTTTTGGCTTTTATTTGACAGAGAGCAGCTAAAGGTGCCAGCTGGGGAGTTAAGACTGTGATGCAGCAGATAAGTTGGATATGCTGCTTCAAAAAGTTTTAAAAACTGGGGCACAAACTGAGAGGATACAGTACATACCTATATAATAAATGGTAAAAATGTTGGAACTGGGACTTTTATACTCTGTTCTGTAGGTGGTTTTAATCGACACTGATCTGTTTTGAGGGATAGGAGTGGAAAATAGACATAAATGCTCTTAATGGGTGAAACCAAAGATCAATATTCCTCGTTAGCCAGTCAGGCCTCCTTCCAGTCCTGAATGACTGCACTGGCAATGAGTGGAATCAGCAGCTGAAAACAAACTGCTCCTGACAACAGTCTTACAGCTTAGAGATATCCAAGTATTGGCTTCATGTTGGCTTAAATATCAATCAGAGCTCTAAAGGGCTGTCACTGTTTCCAAAAAATCAAGCTGGAACGAAAATCCAACACGACATGTTGATGTTTTGAATATAATCGACCCCGACTTCCTGCTCCACCACACAAGACACCTTCAAATCTATTTAACTTCATTTTTAACAGCAACATGGCGTTACAAAAATACAAAAATCACAAAAAAACTCACCCGTCTCAGGCCTCTCATCCCCAAGTCCAGCCAGCAGATCCACAGTCCGGTTCAGGTCGTCAGATGTGGGCTCCTTCTCTGACACCAGGCCACAGAGTTCACCCAGAGATTTCAGCTGACAAACAACGACATTGTTTAATTATTAAAAAACTGTTTCAACAGCAGATCTAAACCTGAAGGAATATTAATCTAGGAAAAATATAAACAATGTCAGTGTTTTGTAGGTTTAGTTTGAGCTCTCATCAAACCAAGACCTTATAACTGACAACAGAGGCAAAATAACACAGTAGAAAGTAGAAATTATCTGTGGGGTTAATAGTCTGTGCAGCTTGATGTAGACAAAATGTAATTTGTTTACCTTGTCAGTAGCATAAGCCCACAGCCCGACTGTATGAGAGCAGTTTGCAGCGAGCTGGGCCTGATCACAGCAGCCCTCGATCCTGTGCAGAACCTCCAAACAGCTCAGGAACACCCAGCAGTCCAGAGCTCCTTCAAGAACTGACACCTTAACAATAAACGCATAGAAATTTAACTATAAGTGACACTTTCAACTTGTTTTTACAAATACAAAACTCTATATGCACACATTGGCATGGGTGATGATGAATTTGTGTTGTCCAATCCAAAACTATAATTTCTCTTATATCTAAGTCTAATATTAGCTCTTCAGGAAAGCTTTTACATGAAGAAGAGATGACTGTTTGTCAAGGGTTCACCTCTAACAGGCGTAGCTCTTGTACGCAGTTGTGCAGCAGCTCCAGGGCTCTCTGTGTGACCTCCCACGGCCTCTGGAGGAAGATGAGTAAGGTGCACTGGCGAGAGAACAGATAGCTCCTCAGATCTAACAAACTGGCCTCCCCACGCTGGATCCCGTCCCTCTTCTCCATGTCGATGGGCCGCCGGAGCAGCAAGCCGCTCCAGCTACGTACTGGGGCGCAGAACGAGCCGAGCCAGTTTGCTGTGTCTGTGGAGAAAAACCACAACCAAAACTAGGATGCACAAAAACATCAAGCACAATACGACTGATGATTTCTTTACTTGCAGGGAAAGCTGCTATGAAATCAACCACAGCATTCACTGATCGTTTTCTTACCTCCAGCCCCAAAGTTAAGGACATACTGGGTAAAAAGAGCATCAAGTTCATCGTACTGGACCAAGGCATCTTCAAACTGCTGCAGCATCTCAAAAACGAAGGCCAGCTCCTCCTGCACATCACACACAAACAATAACATGTGAGACAGAACTAAAGAGTGACCCTCAAAATTTCAACAAAGACGAGACAACGGTTGAGTTGAGTCACTCAACACTAAGCTCTCTGAGATAATTTGAAACAAGCCATCTGTATCTATCAAGTTGTTATTCCCTTTTCAGTCATGATAACCTCATCCTCTTTGTTTCTTTGTGGACAGTCTACATACATGTTCCTGGGTACCTACCTGGACCATGAAGTATTCACAGAAGCTCCAGCCCGGCTGGGTGCGTTTCTCTCTTAGTGTCCTCATGTCGTCTTCAAAGCGGCCGAGGTTCTTGGTGAAGGACATGAGGAGGAGAGTTCTCAGTTTGAGCAACAAGGAATTCCAGGATTCCTGAGAGCGGGACGAGTCCTTCAGAGGATCTGACAACACCACACACCTGTGACATGGAAAAAAAGTATTTTGAAGGGAGTTGGATAAATGAATTAGGCAGATCATAATACAGATTTCTGCTGCTGCTGCTGTGTGAAAGTTTGGTTTAGTTGAAGTCACAAATATTTGCTGAAGTAGCAGCTCCTCTTTGCAGTGTTTTTCATCATAATATTCTTTTTTTTATCAGAGCAAAAACACAAGAAATCCAATTTATACAAACAGATGTGCAGGGAATTCTGAAATTTTAAGAGGCTGCAACAAAAGGATATTTGGCTTTAATTTTAATAAACCTTAAAACCAAAGACTCATCTCAGCACTGTCTGGACTCTGGTCTCAGGAGAGACATCAGGTCCTCTCCTCTACAGTTTTTTCTTTCACAGCGTCCTCACCTATCGTTCTGCTTGTTGCAGAAATCGCTGCGGATCTTGTCCACGATAGACGACCTGGGCAGGATGTTTGTCTTATTCTTCTTCTTTGTGTCGTTGGTCTCGACAACAATGATGACCCAGTCTGCTGAGCCGTGAGTCCGCAAACTGTTCTGCCAGCGCATCATGTCCTCCTTCACCGTTGATTTATACGCCTCTGTGTCCTACAATAAAAGACACAAAACCGTTTTAAATTTTTTTATGATAATTCGTTCTTGCAGAAAATTATCCTTGAAAAAACAGAGAGAGAAACACTAAGGAAAATGCTTTGACTGGATTTTGTTAAATCTAGTATTTCATTCATAGTTTAACGGTGAAAAGAGGGTCAGAGGTGTTTCCCTTTTAAAATGATCTACATTTCACATCTAGTTAGGAAGTCTACTACTGAAGAATGCTGGACAGCAGGTTTTTACTGGACGATAACAGAACTAGAGACTGACTGTTTCTGGAGGGAACACTTTGTTTTCAATCAGCCGGATCTGGGTAGAGGATGTAAAATGAAATAATAAGTCAGATGTTGTGTAATAGTGTCAGTGAGAGGAACTAAAGGACTGATGTTGCACAATGATCTGGAAACCGAGCTATGATTCGACATATTTACTCTTCAGTTGTGAAAACGTATCAATCAGTTTGAGTTAATTTCACATGTACAAACAAACCACATTTTCAGCTTTTAAAAACTTTGATATGTTTATCAGAATGTCTTATTTCTTATTCTCATTTTATCTTATTTTTTTAGTTGTTCATTGGCTTTTGACTCTAAAGAGGAAAGGACAATAGATAGAGCAAGAAACGAGCCGCAGGTGGGAATCAAACCTCTGTAAATATTTGCCATCGTATCAAAGTGTCAAAAAACAAAGAGACAAGTTCATATCTATTGTTTACATCATCAGCATCATAAAAAAAACTGCAGTTAAGTTTCATCAAAGTTTATTTGATGCCTCTACAAATTCAATCAAACCTTACACAGTAGTTTTCAGTTAGTGTATGCATCAGCTTAAACTCTGTGAACATCTTTACGGGGCAGAGAGAAAGCGCCGCTGTAGGTGAATCCTTTGTCCTCTTCTTCCAGCTTTAGTTACCACCTTTAACATTCACAGGGTTTAATGTAGCTGTAAAACGTCTGGATGGAATTTACAATATCTGCTAACAAGTACACATGTGACCGCCCGGTTGGTGCACTGTGGTTTTACAGCCTATCCAGGTCACAGCTCACTGTTCCAGCCTCGTAAGCAAACCTGTCTTCAACACCTGTTACAGAGTGTGTTCAGGATCTGCTGCTCCTTGTAGTAAAAGCAGGGAAACTCTGGCACAGTCAGTCCACTTATATAATCAAGACGGTGCAGACATGACTGACACCTTTCCTGGATCTGGTTTGCTCAGCTGCTCCAGCAGGACAACTTTCAGTGTGGCTCTCTGACGAAAATTAAACCATCAGAATCACTACAGCAGCTTATTTTGCTGGTCTTTTTAAGTCCTTTTCATGTTGTCAATGCTGGCATGGGTACCCTGCTCAGGCACTGCAGGCAGAGTCTGTAGGAAATGTCATGAGTCACGAGCTGATGACAGCACTTCCTCAAACCAAACAGCTGCTCAGTCAGCAGCAGCAGGTTCCTGCTTCCCTTCTTGTTTTTCCCTGAGCAGCTGCACTAAGTAGATGTCAAGTTCACTTCAGGCTGCTGCCCACTGCAGTTTAAGAGACCTGCATCGAGTAAATCTATGTGCATTTTAATGCAGGCGCATTCAAAGCTTTTCTCCTGTCCTGCACACTGAGCTTATCTTTCTCGCTTTTTAAAACTCGGTTATATTTTTAAAAAGTCCGTCTCAGAGTGTTGTGTATTCAGGGTAAACAGAGCTTTCCAAACTCCCTGCCTGTAAACCCTCACATGGAGTCAGGCCAAAACGTCTTAACTAAGTGAACTTGCATATCGGATGTATGTCGTGAAATGAGTTTGCATATCTTGCATACGGAGCCGTCTGTGACCTAGTTTTGCCCAGATGGGGTGCTGCTCATAAGTCTTCATCTATTCTTAGAGGACAGATGAGCAGACTTTGCTTCTTGTGCAGAACACAAGCAGTAAATATACTTTATCAAGACTCTGCTCTTATGACTTCTTAGATAGAAAAGGTGGAGGATCAGCAGCATTTCAAAGCCGCCTTTAAACTTTTGATTAAAAAACAGATTCAAAAGAGAGGGCGCTCTTTTCTACTTAGTGTCTTTCATTTATGGAGGAAGACAACTTCAGGATAGCAGCCATAAAAAAAAGAGTTTTTCAATCCAAAGCCTCGCTGCAGCTCCACATTTTTATGAGTCTCCGTTCACAGAAAGCTGTAAGGACCAAAAATGGAATCACGGGGCTTGACACTAACTTTTTTCACAAGGAGCAAATGTGCTCCTAAACTGAAAAAGTAAGGAGCTCTAGGGGCACAATGAAAATTGATCAAATCATATGTGTCTTAATGTCTGACCTTAGTACAATTATTTGAATTCTTTTTTTTGAAGTTTTTGTAGGAAAACAGCCTTTTTTGAGAAAATCAACCGTTAATTTATTGATGGTCCCTTATTCAATACCCGACATAGACAGCGAGGGTGCAGAGTAGATTTAACCATGCTGCTGTTGCTATTCCTAGTTATGGAGAGTGAGAAGATACTGGCAGACCTGCAGTGAATGTCCGTTGGATATCCTACCTTAAACTTACATCACCGCTGTATTTACATGAAAAAACATTTGCTGCCTCAGCTGGTTTTTTTTTATGCGCATATGTGCCCCTAAATACATTTTACAACTCACACACATCTATTTTTAGTCACAAATGTGAGTGAAGCGGTCGCACTGTCGAGCCCTGAATCATTATTCATGCAACTCTTCAATACAAACACAGAAACTGTCTTCATCTGCAGTACGGTGCCTCTTGGTGTCGTGTAACACAGAATTAAAGCGCTTTTGCACATGATCTCTCAGCAGGAAGGCGCAGGATAAAAAAGACTTGAACAGAACAGTCTTTCATTGTCCCACTGATAGAACAAGAAGTTTGTCATGATGCTATAATTAATGTTTCCCAGTAATGTTTATTAAATTACCACATGACTGACTGAATGAGGCTGTTGTGTAACATGTGTTTGTGTTTGTGCCACTCACACAGCAGTCAGTCCAGTAGATGTGCAGGAAGGGGAAGGTGAGGAGTGCCTTGTTGCCCTCCTTCGGGAGCAGCTCCTCTTTGAACTGGACAAAATTAGCTTCAAGGTGGATCATTTTGGGTGCACGGCCATACGTCCTGAAAAGAGGGGAGAGAGAGAGGAGTTTCATAAGATTGATTATATGTCTAATAATGGAAAACATCTTTATCAACCAAGGACCAAACACGGCTTGAAATATATTTCAAATATCTGACATGAACCTGATTCTGTCAGGTTTTCTCAGGACCACAGTTTGAACAAGTCTGAAGGACACTCTGTTTATTATCAGCAGGGCAGAACTCACCTCCTCCACTCCATTGGCTCTCTGGGAAGCTGTTGGGCCAATGAGGTATAAAGAGAGGTAAACAAGCTCTGATCTCCAGCACCTGGGGTGAAAAAGCAGAACATTTAGAAACTAGGTCAAAACAGAGATACCAAACAGTGCACATGTTTGTTCCCTGATTCTTTAACAGAGCCCAAAATTTTCCAAAGTTTGAGCACTTGTAGTGGGCAAAGCAGGGATCAACCGATTTCACTGATAAACATGCTTAAAAATATCACACTTATTTAATCATAAAGGCACAGAGTGGATCTGTTGTCACGCTCTTAATATGGATCATTATCTTCAGTACAACCTGCACAGAATGAAAACAAAGTGACACTTGTTGTGCACCACCCTGATGCAAGACACATGAAAGCTGTGCTACATCAGCTTGACTATACTAGAGAACTCAAGCAGCAAAGTTTTGTATTTACACAAGAAACAAGTGAGGTCAGCAGTGTGGGAACATTTCAGATACATTAGATTCTAGGGCTGGGCGATATGGCCTCAAATCAATACCACAATATATTGAGCAGTTCACCTCGATAACGATAAATGGACGATAACTACTCCACGAGCTGCTCACCCCCTCACACATTAACTTCATCTACTTCAGCCGCCATTCCAGCCGCTACAACTTTCGAACCATCCTCAATCTCCTCACCTGTCTTTCCCTCTTTGTTACAGACTGGATGGGGTGGAGTCACGTCTCTGACATAGGACAGTGTCTTAAAGGGACATGAGACCATAGCCTACCTACACACATCCAAAACCAACTTTTATTCATTGATTCTTTTGACACTGAATACACTGACATGGGCAAAATGATGTCGGTTATTGTCATAAATTTCGGTATCTGTATATTTGGTTTATCGCCCAGCCCTATTAGATTCTTCAAGCCGACAGAACCTGCCTCAAAAAAGTTGTGGCTAAACAGTCAAACACGTCAAAGTAGATGGAGCGTCTGCAAAATCCGCACGCTAAGAAAGGTTATACCGTTCAGTCAGTGTGAGTTTCAGAGTGAGTAAGAGGGAATCTGAGCCCGGCTGTAGTGGTGATAGCCTTGTATCACGCAACTCCAATTGCATGAATTACACTATATTAAATCATATTTACTTGCAGTATTGAATAAAAGTTGCAATGTTGGTCAAATAAAGAGAAAACAAGAGCTTCACTGAAGCAAATTCTTACATTTTGAGGCGATTCAGAGAAAGAAAGTGAGAACAGAAGTCTTAATTTCTCAAACGTTGTGAAAATTTACTGTATAAAACTTTGGAACCACTTTAGAGAGACTCTGAGTCCTCTTTCTGTCTTTGTTCAAACTCCGATAAACGCCTCCAGGAAACCCTGTGATGCTGAGGTGTGATTTTGATGATTAGGAGTGTAGAGAGGGATGCTGAGCTTTTGCCAGAACTGTCTGATTCTCAGCCAAGGCTTTTAACGGGTCAGCGTCCTGAAGCGCCCTTTGACTTCATCTTCTCTCTCCATACAGCTGCATTAAAGCAAAAGAAATCTAAATATGAACTGATGATGATATTTGCATGACAGGATATGGAGTTTGCCTCCTTTTCGCTACGTATAGCCTGAACGTACGCTCCCATAATCTGAGCCGTTATCACAAAGAAAGCAACAGCCTGAAAGACTCCAAGTACTAGTTTTCATTTCTGAAGGGTACAACAAAAAGTCATACCTACAGGCTAGAATTTGATAGGATGACTGTCTACCCCGGTTAGCAACATGAAGCCTTTACTTCATTGAAGGTAGTGAAGGTAATGGTTCAGTAGTTTCATACCAAGTTCCTGCCTTTAATCAAAAATCCCTTATAGAGGCTTACATAGTTCAACTTGGTGCGTTCCTGCACTTTGTATCTTATGTAGAGATACTGCCGCCTTCTCAGTTGGTCCTTCTTCTAAATCATTACCAGCCCTGTGAACCCAGCCCTCATGTTGACACCTAAGACTCGTAGAATCCCTTGTCTGGCTCAACAACACAAAAGTCTCAGCTTTCTCAGTCAATGCCCTATTTTAGGACTACTCTAACTGTCATGCACCGTAGCTGAGTGTGTGCGTTTGATCAGCAGCGACTTCTGAGACTGAATGTCTTGTTCGAGCGACGCTGGAACTGGGCCGCATCAAATGAAGCGCATAAGAAGTCTTTTTATAAATACTCCCTGAAGGCGAAGAGGAGTACCAGAGCTATGCTGCTCACTCAGTGTTAATGTCAACACCAACAAACATCCTGCAGGACAAACGTCAGCACTTTAGCATCATGGTGAATTCTCTTTGAGTGTTCTGGAGCTGAGCCTTCACATTTCCCTGAGCTGACAAACTATTTTGTTTATAAATTAGCCTCGCTGTCAGCTGATTAACACCTGGACAGAGAGAAAACAGGACCAGCTATGGATTTGGTGTGTGGCACATGATATAACACTATTAGTAGACCTGGCTAAATCCTTATGGTAACTTATTATAAGCTTGTCTGGACCAGAATATATTCAGAGTAAGGGCTTAAAATTGGATGTTAATGGCATTAATCAATCCCCGGAGAAGTCCTCTGCATGAAACTTAGACTATCAGCAACAAAATAGAGAGTTTTTTAGGAACCATAACATCTTTTTTACTAACACAGATGAAAAGTAAATGCAATTTACCACCCTTATTCATCGAGAAAATCAACCCCCCTCCATACTCGCCTCTTCTTTATTTTAGGCAAAATTTACCTCACAAATTTCAGAAGATCATCTGTATAGTTAAAATGATAAGTGCACAGTTTCTATGAACTAGCTTATGTTTGGTCCTAATATTCTGCTGCTACCACTGCTGGTTTTCAGCTCCAGTATCCAACCGTACTATTGCTGCTGAATTCATAAGTATCATTGTAGATATAACTCTGTCATGTAGATAATAGGGGTGGGAATCACTAGTGGCCCTACGATACGATATCATCACAATACTTGAGCCACGATACGATATTATTATGATTTTGCATTTATAGTGAGTATTGCGATACAATATATTGCGATTTATACAATTTTTTCAGATGTTTTGCTAATTAAGCATTTGTCTTTCCTTTATGTTTGTCTTATTTGCTATTTATTTTATTTTCATTTAGCACATCTTGCAAACCTTATACATATATATTTGTTGTACTAACTTTCTCCTGCTCTATGATGTCACCTCTGCCAACCTCACTGGACAAACAGTTGATTTTATTTTTTTAACTATCATAGATCTAACTTCATATTCAGAATTAATTTGAAAATATTAATACTTGGTAAATGAGACAATAGGATATATCACCAGACAAAATATCGCGATATGGACTGATTGATCAGTCAGGCTAATTCAAAATCCATCTAAAACATACTCCTGGCTGAGATAACCATGTGCATACATGACTGTACTGTGCATGGAGCAATGAGTGTTATTATTATTACTATTAAAATCAAGTTATTATATTCTATCAGATACAAAAACAAAACAACACTGCAATATCAGCGGTGTGCATAGTGCATCAGCTGATCACCCATGTAATAGTGGGTGTCATATTGGCCATTGAAAAACTAATATTGCTCAGCCACTAGGACATGTTACAAATGAACAGGATGCATCATGACAACAACATTTGAGCCATTTGTAGAAAAAAAACATGGTAATTCTCCCCCAAAACATCCCTTCCATATAATAGAGTAGATCCAAATTAAACCAGCCCCCCTGAACAATAAAAATGACAATCACTGCAGGATTCAGGAATTTCCCCCATGCTGTCAGACAATGCTTTGCTCCAAAAATGTAAGGATAGTGTTTGATATTTACCATCAAACCAGGAGACACTGACTGTCATATAAACATGTCATATCCACGAGTGTCCTTGCAGAGACAGGCAGCAGCACAGTCACTTTTAGCAAACAATAGGCAGCAATAAGGGCAAACATAGCGCACAATACATGACGTAAACATTATAAGGCATGGTATACATGGAGGGAAGGAAACAACAATACTACATATGCTAGTCAGAGCATCTACAACCAGGTTGATGGACCTGTTTTTGATTCATTTACAGCAGAATTCCATAAAGAGCAACATCATCAGACATCAACATGAATCACTCATCAGCTTTCTATATCTGTCAATCTTTGTCATGGTCATGCTACTCTCGTCTTTGTGACTTGGGGTACCTTTATACCACCCATTCCTAAAAATGGAGCAGCTGGCGGTGTGAAGTGAGGCTGTCACCCACTACTAGAGAGAGAGCCGGCTCCTAAAATAACTCCTGAGGGAAGATTTCATAAGAGTCTACAGGATTTATGAATGGCAAACTGACTCTGACGGCCAAATATCATGTAGCGACTCCAGTGAGATCTGCTCTTAGGGGAGACGGGGGCTGTCCAGTAGGGATCAAGGTGATATCCTCTCCCCAAAAACCTGCTGCAACCAGCCGCGACGCTTCAGCCGTTAGCCCGGCCTGTTAGTCAATGTAGCTGAGAGACACAACGCTTCATATTCTGCTATTTCTTTCACTACAGGTGTGTGTGAGCGCATTAGCAATGACCGGAACAGATCAGGCCACCAGCCGCCACATACACACGTCTCCAACTTGGCTAATAAAAGGTGCCAGCTAGCTTAGCTAAACAGGCTAATGAGTTTAGCTTGCAGGCTAACTGTCAAAGCCGAGAAAAATCAAACAGTCCGTTTCTTTTATCAACACTCACATGTCACAATCGGCTTGTTTTCCATAGTGTAGATAATCGGCTTTTCCTCTTGACACTCCATATGTGTTATCGGTTGTACTCCATGAAAATGACATACAAACAGAGCTTTATTATTAGTAAATGCTTATGTGTGCAGTTGTGTTGAATCGATGGGGCCTGTGTCCCCGCTGCACTTCCGGGAAGTACGTAACCCGTGCCTCATTAAAGGGCCAACCCGCCCTTTTTTGCTTCATCAGAAAAACGTGTTAGCTACGTGTAAATGTTGTGATGTTATTTTTTTAATGCCATATATGAAATACTGTCATAAGCCGGAGGAAATTTGTATCAAGAAAATACTCATTTAATCCAGAAAAAAACCAATTCAGATTGAAATAGAGGTTGTTAACATCAATCTATTCAGCCACCATTCTGAATATGTAGCCAATTCAAATTTCTAGTTATTCTCAAATCAACTTTATTCATGAGTTAAGGGCTTCATTTGCAGAGAAAGCACCAGTGCAGAAACAAATAAAACATAGCACATGTTCATTCACAGATCACAATCTAGAGTCCATATTAAATACAATAAAAATATTAAATACATTAAAAACAAAAGGTCAATCATACCAGTCCTCCTCTACAATATTGTGTAGCAATCCGCTGTTAAACAGGCGGCTGGAGGTGGGAAGGAAGCTGGAGGTGGCCCTCTATGTCCTTAGTGGAAGCAACCTGTACCTGCACCCTGAAGGCAGCAGGGCATAGTGAGGGTGCAGGGTGTGTGAGGGGTCAGTGGAGATCTGGTTGCCTTTCCTCAGGACTCTGGTGTTGTAGATGGCAGTGAGTGACTGCTGTTCCTGACCAACGATTTAGCTGCTGATTTTGATAATTTTATTAAGAGTGTTGTGGTGAGTAAGGGTGAGTGAGCCAAACCAGGCAGTGATGTTGAATTCTGTACTTGAAAAATAAATGAAAAACAAATTCTGGGTTCACTCTAAATTAACTCTAGGTCCAAATCAAAGACAACAGGTAGAGACAAAGACTGCTGACACTTAATGCAAAATTTCATGGTTTGAATCCTACTTACAGCTCACCATGTAAATAAGTAAATACTGTTTCTGAATTAGAGTCTGGACTGTGCATTTGAACTACCACTATCAAATGGGGATGTGGAAAAAGCTCCACAAGCAAGGACTTCCAGGAAAGCTTGTAGTGTAGCTGTAAAGACTGCTGCCTCAACATGAAAATATTCTAGGTTTTATAATAGTAATAATGCATCAGATTTCATATAGCACTTTATCAGAGACCCTCAAAGCACTTTACATTTGATACATCATTCATTCACTCACACAGTCACACCTTGGTGGTGGTAAACTACCTTAGTAGTCACTGCTGCCCTGGGGCAGACTGACAGAAACGTGGCTGCCAGTTTGCGCCTATGGTCTCTCCGACCACCACCACACAACACTCAAAATCATACACCAGTGGGAGCAAGGTGGGTTAAGTGTCTTGCCCAGGGACACAATGGACAGACTCAGGATGAGGGGGGAACCAATCCACCAACCTTCTGGTTACTGGACGGCTGCTCTACCTCCTGAGCTGCTGCTGCCCAATTTTAGTTTCAATTCCTATTTTAACATAGGAAACAGGATTTCTACAAACCCCAGGATGGTATCCTAGATGGATTCGAAAAAAATATTTGTCCTTATAATGTGGTTTTATTGAAAAGTAAAAGTTTTCACTGTTTTGAAGCTGTCACAAGAACATATAAAACATAAATATTAGCTATACAAAACATTTTTTATTATGCATAAAGTTTTTTTTCCAATTGCTCATCATAACCCATAATTTTTCTTCAATATCTTATCAACCCCAAAAAGAAGGAATGGAAAGCGATTAAAAAAGTTATACTGAATATTTTTGTGGCAAAAGTAAGTTAAAAATTCCAAACATTTTCATATTAAATAAGTACAAAAAGAAATCCAAATAAATAATTTTAATTTTATATTTAAATAAGGATGAAGTGCAAATTAATACAAAGAAATGTCAGACATTATCTATCAATCCTTGTTTTGTTCTGGATGATCTTATTCAAAGCTGAGATGAAACGCTGTCACCTAGTGGCATAATTTTGTATTGCAGTGTGTCTCAAAAAGAAGTCATAGTCCTCAACATTTTGTTGATGTGTAAAACAGAAAGAAAAAAACATTCAGAAATATGCAGTTATTAGTAAACATTTCCCTTTTTTTTCTTATTTCACTTTTTCTTCATGGTTTCTCTGTATATCTTTGGACTTTTCTTCTCAGTCTTCTTTTCCATTTTCTCCCCCGTCTTCAGATTTTCTCTCTGCACTTTTCTCGTCCTTCTCATCTTCAGGCTCAATCTCAGCTCCATCCCCTTTCCCCGGTCTATCATCTCCTTTCTCTCTGCTCTTTTCTTTGTCATCTTCTATTGTCTTTCCCTGATTGCCTGCGTCCTTCACTCCTGATTTATCTCCCTCCACCGTCCTCTCTGTGTCCTCTTTGGTACTTTTTGTGCTTTCTCCATCTCCCTCTTTGGTCACATCTTTACCATCCTCTCCCTGTCCCTGTTTTTTTACCTTTGTGTCTGAACCTTTTTCCTCTTCACCCTCAGCCTCTTCTCTTTCCCAGCCCACTTCTCCTCCCACCCCTTCACCTCTCCCCTCTGCCAGCTCTCCTTCTACATCCTCTGGCAGCTGAGTCCCCAGAGCTGCCACCTCCCACTCCAACTGCTCCACCCTGGCCTGCATCTTGCGGTTACTTGACTCCAGCTCCACCATCAGTCGAGCCAGTTTTGTCTGCAAGATTTCCAAGTTCCTCTCCAGCCTTTGTATCTTGGTTTCAACTTTTTCTGTCTCCCCCTCCGTACCCTCCCCGCTCTCCTCCAACATGCCCATCTTGGTGAGAATTTGTCTGCCTTTCTCCTCCAGGTGGCACTTGGCTGCAGGGAACTCAGAAAGCACATCTGTCAGGTCTTCTTTGGACAAGCTGAATAAGTCGGAGTAGCCAATACTGCGAATGTTGGCAGTGCGACGATTGCCTGACTTGTTCCCTACAAAGAAAAAAGTTGTTTCATCTTAGAAAGTTTTATTAAAAGCTTATCAAAATAAGGAAAAAAATTAAGCCAAAAGACACAATGTTTCCAGACAAACAATTTACCAAAGTTTGACAACCTTTGTTGTAGTGAAGTACAAGACTTCTCGGTGAAAATACTTAAAGCTCCAATGAGGAACTTTCAGTTTACATCACATCTGGCGCCCCCATGTGGACAATGCCGCCTTTGCTCATCTTATCCTCCATACTCCTAAGTTGTGATTTTTGATCAAAATGTTATCCTGCTGACTTTTTACACCTACCCCTTCACACCAGTTTTAAAACGTTAAAAATTAGGATTAAATAAATCATCCAATTTTTCAGGGATGATCGTGTTTGCTCTTATATTCCATAATAAGGCATCAATATAAATTTCAGTCTGTTTCATTGAGGTTAAAAAAAACACTCATCGTAAGAGCTTTTAATAATATTCTGTAGTAATGATAGTTACTTTCTTTACCAGCTAAAAACTACCCATGGGAGCTTTAATTAATCATGTGTTTAACTTGTATCTTAATGCTCGTATTAGTAACACAGAGAATACTTGACATATGTCTTACCTTTAATGTTGAGGATACTTATTTCCCCAAAGAAGTTCCCCTCACTCAGCACAGCAAACTCCGTGATCCCATCGTCTGCAACAACTGCAAGTTTTCCCTCCTTGATGATGTACATTTCGTGGCCCACATCTCCTTTCCTGCACACGTATTCTCCTGGACTGAACACCTGCAGGACAAAAAGGCAAAAATAAAACTTTCTGAACAATCCACAAATCTATGATACAAGGCCAAACATTACTTATCCCTCTGATGAATACCACTCTGTTCTTTCCCTGACCTGAGGGTTCAGTTTGAGCACCAGCTCCTCCAACAGACTCTTCTCACAGCTCTGGAAGATAGTGACTTTGGAGAGTGTGGGTAGGTGAACGCTGACAGCGATCTCTGTCCTCAGGTGAACAGGAAGCTGCTGAAGGATCTCATTTTCTCTCATAATCTTCTTGTTGATGTGAAGATGCTGGTACCAGTTGTCGATACGCTGACGTAGCTCTTTGCTGATATGGTGGCTACGCAGGTATGCCTTTACCTGGAAAAGGGAAGAACACCTTTTCGGTAATGTCAGATTAAAATAAACCTCTACAGCCAATAAAAGCAAACAATCATGGATGCAATTTGCAGTCCTTAGTTTTGTGAAATATTTTACAAAAAAGGAAGACATTAAAAACTTTCATTCTGCACACAACTTACTTTGTATGCATGAGTGTGATTGCAGGCATGTCTGGTTATATGTGTTTTGTCTGGTCATATGTACATGCACATTTATGAGTAAACATGGATATATGTAGATATTGAATTTCCCTTCGGGTTAAATAAAATTCTTCTGATCTCTTATCTCTATATGCATATGTACAAGCATGCATTTATAGGTGGGTGTGAATATTCATATGAATAACTATAACATGTAGAATACCTAAAACCTGGGAATTAAAAAAAATCTAGATGATATCATGACTGATTTTCCAGGATTGTTTGAATCCCCAAACTGTGAAGTACTGCATCACATTTATTGAACATGTAAAAAGTTGTTTAGAGTAGGAATTGATATAAATGAGCACATATAAATCCCACTGTCAGATAATGTTCATCAATATGTCCACAGCATAATGAACAACATCATGTGGTATTTAAAATTGCTTTTAATATTTAACTGTTTCGTCCATCTTACTGTTTTTATGTCTTTGTCTTATTATCTTGAATTTTACGTACCATGTAAAGCGTCTTTGAGTGTTTTTAAAAGCGCTGTACAAATAAAATGAATTATTATTATTATTATTATTATATATAAATCCCACTGTCAGATAATGTTCATCAATATGTCCACAGCATAATGAACAACATCATGTGGTATATCATACTCCCATCACACATACATGTTACAGCCTTTTTACCAATGGATGGGCCTTAGAAATTCAGCTCAAGCCTTCTGACATATTGGACTCCTTATTTTCCTCAAAAGTAGAAATCAAACAGCTTGTCAGTGCTGAAAATGTTTAATTTACTGAGTTGCCATCTTGGATTGTAGAGGTCAGAACTGGTGACATTTTTTTTATTCATTTTTTTCTCTTGAGCTTTTGGGTCGAACAATCAGCTTCTTGTTGAAAATTTCAAGTAGGAAAGTTTGGCAAACTCAACCATCTTACAAACTTACCAGCTCATGGTTCGGAAAGAAGACATTATCGCGATCTCTTAGGCTTGTGATGACATTTCCAACATTCCCAACAATGGATGCAAAGACGAGCACAGCAATGAGCAGATCTGCAATCATGAACAGATACTCCTCTTCCCTTTTTGGCAGGGGGGTGTCTCCTACTGTGGTGAAAATCTGGGCAGAGAACCAGAAGCAGTAGATGTACTGACGACGCATGGAGGCAAACTCAGGGTTGGTCATGTTTGGGTAAACCCATCGATCACTTCCAAAGCCAATGTAGCTGGACAGAGCGAAGTAGAGACAGGCATTCCAGTGGATCAACACGAAGATATAGATCATGAGTTTGGAAATGCGGAAGGTGTTCGGGTAGGAGGTTCTGGTCTCCATGCGGTCCAGGGCCTCATTGAGACGCGGGATTCGCAGCAGGCGGTTGATCCTCACCATGGGAGTTTGGATGCCAAAGACAAAGTAGAGGAGGTCAGTGGGCAGCAGTGACACCACGTCTCTTAGGAAACGTTTGGAATGCAGGTAGCGCTTCTTCAGCTGGTATATGTCCCTGATCAGGATTCCCTGGTCCAAGTATCCTGGAGAGAGAAGAACAGCTCATTACCAACACTGACACAAATACCAAACCAAAGTCATTCCATGCTTTTTGAGAAAATTATTAAATCCATACTACTTGAAAAAAGGTTTAATTTGTTTTACAGCATGAATTCAGGGCTTCAAAAAAGCCAAGACGGGATAATAAAACTCTGAGGAAGTTAAAAGTCAACTTGAGGAGAACCTCTAAACTTATTAGGTTAATTTGCAGCATGAAAAGGCATCGTAAAGGAGATAAGCTGATCATAAGTAAAGATGGGAATGGGTTCACTTGGGTTCAGTTTTGTAAGAGGCTGCATAAATTCAAAGTCCAGTCATTTCAGACTAATGATCCTCAGTGTAACATGTTTAAATTCCAATCAAAATCCTCATAATTTACCTGTATGAACTGTGATGACCATGTCAATTATATACATGAGGTCTGCCAGGTAGTCCAGTGTGAGCCACACAGGCAGGTAGCTCAGTGCGATCATAGTGAAGCATGTTCTAAAGAAACATAAATAAGTCTGTTTCAAACATTTCGGGGTAAGTGTTTATGAATCCCACTCTATTTTCATCCAAGATTGTACCTCAGGATGATGATGACGGAGTTGTAGACGATGGGAAAGATCATAACCTGGAGCCAGACATAATAAAACTGTTCTGCTGGATCCACCGACCAGTCTTTCCAGCTGAGCGGGAGGTGATGATAAAGAGAGAGGAGTGAAGAATTAGGATTCATAGTTGTTTTAGTCAAAAAGCAAGACCTAAGAACTGGGAAAATAAACAGTCTTTGAGAGGTGTGATTCTTTTGAGATCTCAGCCAAATTAAAGGTATTAAAGTCAGAGTAAACAGAGTGTATCAATGGAACAGAAGTAAGCAAAATCAGATCATTTATTCATTCTAAGGTTATGAATAAGGTCATGCATGTTTTCGTTGTGTTAGAAATGTTAACCTCACCCATTACTTACTTGAAATTCCGATTTAGCTCCAGCAGTCTGTTACGTTTTCCTTCTTCCTTGACACCATTGTCTCCTTCCTCATTTACTTTGTGCCCTCGATGCCACCTGAGCAGCCTCTGCCATTTGTTCGCGCCGACATCACCTAAATTATCCATCCTCCAAAGTCAGACCTCACTCTAACACATTTTTACAATTGGCATGTCCACCCAAGTCTTCTGTTTTTAAATCAGACAACCCTGTGGATGTGGATTAGACTATAACACCTCAGTTTAGTCACCTGACAACAGAGCAGGTCCACCTAGGCTCTGCCTGGTGATGCTGGTCTCTATGGAAGGAAACCACAACAGATGTCAGGAGTCCTCTGGGAATTCTTCCTTCACCTAGAAAACCAGACAGGTCTTCCTTCTCACATCGTAGTGAGAGATGAATACAACAAACAATAACTGGAGTGCAGAGCCCCCCTGTGACGCTGAGCTGCACTTTGAATAAAAATACAGCCACCAGAAAATGTACAACCTCATGCCAAAAATGGATGTGACTGTGAAAAAAAGTTAATAAAACAGATTTGGAGGTTGGAAAATCATCTAAATTTTGAATTCAACTATAAAAAGTGTACAAATATCACACTGAATGTTTTCACTAAAACGCCTGACTGTTTCATGAAACACATCCTCATCTCAAATGTCAGTTTTCACATTTTCAAATTTGCTCTACTTTATTGCTCATGCTGGTAATTTAAAAGCTTTTTTTAGGTTAAAACAAACAGGGCAGGTTGAGATTTGGACTCAGAGTCTTTGCACTGAGAGGCAACAATCTTCACAACTACACCACAGGAAATAGTGGCAGGCAGCGGATGCTTTTGCAATTCTTTTCATATCGTTTGAATATGGTGGTTAAACTGCACAGCTCAAACTACAGTGTGAGAAGAGCATTTCTGTGCGCACACTGAGGTACCATTGTACAGGGCTACTGTTTAATGTGATCATTTTTAAAATGGAATGCCGAGTGGACAATCTGTATTTGAACTTAAAGCTCCAGTGAGGAACTTTCAGTAGGCTATTTTGTTCATGCACCGGTTGTGTTTTCTGACAACCAAACTTCATCTTGTGTTTCTAACATTCCAATGTTGAAACCCTATCGCAAAAAGGTTGTTTCCACAGCATTCTGTAAATGGTGTTGTACATAAGAAATTATGTAGGTATTGTTGCTGATGGTCTTTTTCGCTTTTGGAACATTCAGAGGCATCAGTAGGCTATTAATTTCCCCTATTTCAAAATTTCTTAGTGGAGCCATGAGTGGGATATCTACCCCCTCATTTCATCCCTGGTTAAAACTTTAAAAAGACTTTTATCTTCCTGCTCACGAGCTGTGTGTGTTGGTTTGAACAAAATTCTAATAAAACTTATGACAGACTAAATTCACTTTCAGAGGTGAAAAATGTTTTTTTTTTGGAAATAAATGTCTAACCCCTTCACCTATATGCTTCTAACCTTCACAGACTCCATGAATTGATGCCCATCTCCTAAATATTTGGTCACATAATTAATTTCTTTACCATTTCCAAGCAACAGGGGTTGGCTCATCTTACCCTTTGGCTCAACCTTCCCCACTCTCCCCTACTCAATAACATATCAATTGAGCTTCAGCACTGAAATGCACTGTTGTCCTCTGTTTATGGTAAAACAACCACAACTACAAATGATTAAAAGAAAGAAAGAAAGAAAGAAAGAAATTTTAAAAAGTCATTTGAGGGAGCAGAGAGCAGCAGAGGGAGCAGAGTCGAGGTGGGTGTGAGTCAGAGGAGTCGTGTGGGCGGAGCTAAAGTAAGATGGCTGCGGGAGAGAGGAGAGTGTTTGAGAAATCATCAAATGGGATGTTTATCTGTCGCTAACAGGATGCACGGCGGTCAGAATGAAGGAGTGGTTAATCTTTTAGCTTCCCGGGGTCGGTTTGCTCTAGCCTGCCTGCTGTCTTCAGGTTTCCTGCGAGCTGCTCGAGCATTTATTGCTCTGACATTGTGGACTTCATTAGCGGTTAGCCGTTAGCAACACAGCAGCGCTAACTCACTAGCAGCCCGTTAGCAGGCATCCGTGGATATCTACTTCTTTAACAACTGCTGAGGCTCCCAAAACATCAAATGTGAGTTGCTTTGGCTTTATCTTAAGCTACTGTACACGTTAATATCATAAAAGAACAAAGTACTTCGCTGACATTCCCAAGTAAGCTAATTATCTTTGCAGTATCAACTAGCCTGCTACATCATCTCGCCATTGACATGCATTGATTGTTGTTTTCCGTCACCCCCCTTCGGTCCGCTAGTATGAGATCTGACGCAGGATGATGACTTAAAGATCAGCTGTAAAGAGCAAATGCTGTTAAGTTAATGATCCAATTGATCAAGCGAGCTGAAAGCAAATAGATTTGATTGTTGTGCCCTGCAGCTGGGTGAGCTAACAGACTGTCAGACCGATAACAAAAACACTGCAGTGATTGAGGGATCAGACTTACAAGAGTGTAGACTGTTTCTCGGCAAACTTCATTATAGAAAGTGCTCCCGTAATTATATCTACCTCTGATACATGTGGAAAGAAGAATAACTCGAGAATCTATAACCTGATGGCTCTCTGAAATTGAGGTTTTCTTGATTAAATGCAAACAACTGAAGTCAACTGAAGTTAGACTTAACGACATTGTGACTGAATAAATTATGATATTAATAATTCTTTCAGTCTCAGGGACATATAAGGAATATTATAACTTCTAAATCATAACTGTGATTAAAAAATGTTTAGAGTCTTGAAAACTTTGATTTAAAGTGTTGTCAGGTACCAGGCTGTTTGTTTGTTTTGTGGTTATGGTAAATAAGGCTTTCATTCATTTCTGTTAGGGTGCACCATATTCTAAGGGTAAGCATTCACATACCCTCAATTGAAGAGAGAAGGGAGATAATAAGACTCTGTAAATTCAAGGAAATGTGGCTTTAAGATTAAAATAACAGATTGGCAGGGGCAGACCATAACTTAAATTGAAAGATATGCTAAGAAGGAGCTTTAAACTTGGGATTGAAATCAAATAAACAATGTCTCTGATTGTTCTATTGTGCAAAAAGTTTATTCTCTTCTGCTTAAGTCCCAGAAAAATCTTTAAAAGTCTTGAATCAACAAAAAGAGTACCAACACTGACTTGCATTTCTTGCTTTATTATAATGCAGGGTTTTCCATGATTGCCAGCTTTCAGCAGAAGTGACTACTCTCATTTACAGTCAGCTACCAGTTCTGTGGTTAAAATAGAAGAGGAGAAAAATCAAATAGCAAACAGTTTCTCCTGTAGATTTTGGATAAATTCATTGCTGCTGTCTGTCAGTTTGTACAGGAGAAAGATGCTGGTCTGTGTCAGCTCCCTCATGAGAGTGGATGTTGAGAGACAGGGTCACCCTCAATGGATATAAGCAATATTGTTGAAGACAAAACAAGAATTGATTTTACGGAGAGAGGGGGGTCAGTGTCATTAAGGGTCCAGACACTCTACCTGAATAATTTCACCACTGGACTGCCATATCTTTGCAAAAAGCCCTGGTAATGACAGATCCATATGATTCGACATGTGGCTCATGCTACAAACACATTTCACAGCTTTTATCAAGGATCTAAAGACCACACATCAGCAAAAGGGATGTCTGACTTTAATAAGCAAAAATGAAAAACAAATAATCAACCATGATGACAGATGACAAGCTTTATACGATTTTCTAAAGTTACCGGCTCTATGTTTTGATTCCAGAGTTCTTGGCACAGACAGGCTGATGCATCTTGAGTTTGTTTACCTTCACTTTGGTCAGTGACTGACAAATCTGTCGGAGTCTGAGCATAACAACATTTTCTCCTGTAGAGGTGTCAACTTTATCTGGTTTTGCCTTGTCTGTTCTTGTCTTAGACCTCTTCAAACTGCATTGTGAATTTTTCATATAGAAAAAGACGTTTCTTTCTTTAGATACACAGCTCTTGAAGGTGGGTCAGAGACACGTCTGGATGAGCCCTTATCTTTTGCAGAAGTTGGTCCCAGACTTCACCTCAGTCTTAAGAGCACAGCACCTTTAACTCTGCACACAAAGAGTGGACACAGTGACAGTAATTACAGAAGTGGACACACAGAGAGAAATGTGAGGAATGTGAAGGACAGTTTTGAGAGTCCTTGGAGCCTTTCCTTTTCACACCTGTTTTACACCTGAACTGTTCCTTTGGGAAGCAGGCGCGGCTTTAACTTTTCTGTGAGTTAGATCGTTTTCTTCTGTTGTAATCCATCTGAGCATTAAAAAGAAAACATCTCGGCCTCTTTAGACTTTGTAGTTGCTTGTTTGATCACTAACCTTTGACAAACTCTCTTGTCTTGAAGAGTCCGCCTCCCTCAGTGGAATCTGCTGTTGGACTTTGAACATTATGGGCTTGGTTTATGATGCTGTCTGTGTGACCTGGAAATAAAGCGCGTTTTTTCAGCTTGTGTTCATCATAGTTTTAGACCGTGCATCAGCTGAGCGGAAAACTGTGTCCTTAATGCTGCGGCAGATTGGCCGACCTGCATTAAAGGTAATTGTATTTGTGCTGAATGAAGGGCTAACTGTATTCCCACTCGGCTTATTTTCAGTCCATCATCATGCTGAAGATATTTCTGTTTTTCTCTGTCGGTTGAGTTTCTTTTTCTGCTAACATGTCATTTAGTGAGTATCATTAACTTTGACTCATTGCTGCAGGCTTGTGAATGATTACGAAGTTTGAATGTTTGGGTTAAAGCGTCAGTTTTTGAGTGAAGAAAGATACTGTATGAGTTCAGTAAATAAAAGCACGAAGGCTTATTGATTGAGTGAGTCATGCTAGAAGAAGCTAAATCTGTTACACATGTCCAACCAGAGTCCAGGTCATGTGAGCTCAGTCCGTATCATGTGGCTGCAAACAATAACAAAACATTTGTACGCTTATTTAAGAGTCTACTCTTCTTTTGTGACATGAAGATAAATCCATGCTGTCAGGAAAGGTCCTTTGCAAACATTAAGAAGATAAAAATAAACTGGGATCCATTTAAAAGGTTTCCATCTCAGTGGACTGTCTCCTGCATTTGATAATCAGGGCTGATTTGAAAAGACTACACCCAAAGACATTCAAACTTCTGAGTATCAAATAGGCCCATTGGTCGTGTCTTTGTAATATTCTGCCTTTTTAAAAGAGAGCAACAGCAGCAGTCACGTCTGATACAAACAATTTCTGTTTACTCTGAAGGTACCAGGCAGATTCACAACATTAAAAGGCTTCAAAACATCAAAACCACTCCTCCAGTATTATCCTCTTCTTATCTGTTGATCCATCTGCTCACTAGATCGCTAATAATCCTCACTATTATGCACTAAAAGCACCACAGAACTTCCGACAGATATTTTTGGAGCTTTACCGAGGAGACTGAACGACACTGACAAAAGATTTTAAGCTACACAGAAAATGAATAACAAATTATAATAGACTTAAAGTATTATGTGTACTCTTGTTTTTAGGGATGCTCAATTTGCCAAGATCCCAATCCCAAGTTATTTTGATTGGTATTAAGGTCATGGTCATTGAGTTTACCCATTGATTTGACAGCTGCATTACCTGTATTTATCGAACTTCCACATCTCTCCAACTTTGAATTTTAATACATTTTTATAAATTGTATTAACAATAGTGCTGGGACGATATGCTTCTCTCCCGATTCGATTCTTCTATGATTTTTTGGATGCCCATTCAATTTAAGTTGCGATTCTACGATATTGTTGATTTTCTAAATTTTTAACACCAGTGAAACAGTTGAATGATTATGACTGTCTACTGACTATTCCAGGAATCATATTTCCCCAAAAAATGCACATCACATGTAAGTCAGTTTTAAGATTTATTCCTAAATTTGAAGGAAAAAAAAGATATTTGAACATTAAAATTGATTTAAAAAATGTAAAACAAAAAATCGCGATACTTATGTGAATCGATTTTTTTCTCCCACCCCTAATTAACAAAAAACAATATTTTGCTTCACCTCCCCAGTGCTCTCTCCATCCCTCTGTTTTACCAACACACATTTGCTCCTTTCTTCCATCCTCTTTAGCTGCCACTAATGCAGCAGCTACTGTCAGCAGCTACTACCTGGAAGTGCTGGACAGATAGCTCTCTTCTCTCTGCATGGCTGCATGATACGGTAGTTCTGCTTCCTTTGCTCAACATTTTGGTGGCACAGCAGTCTTTACACATCCACATCTCCCAAAACTCTCTTGTGCATCAATCAGAGCTGCAGTGATGAAGTGGTGTAGCCTACTTTCTACCAGGTGTGTCTGCCCAGTGTAGCCTTGATCGTGGCTCCTTTCCTGAGAGCTGTTTGGGGCAGGGGCTGAATTTACCCAGTTTTAGGGTAAATATCAACAAAATTGATCGTTTAGTGAATGATTTAATTGAGGCAGAGAAAGATCTCGTATTATATAAGTTATAACTCATCATCTCTGAGAACTTGGCTGACGTGAGAAACAAAAAAATACATACACAGCTCCTGCCATGTTAAGCAGAAGGCTGACAAGATTTAGTCTTTCTCGAAAATAACCCAGTGGTTTCCCTGGTAACCACATACTGTGGGCGCTGACTTTTGTTTGTTTGGGAAAACACAGAAAAAAAACTCTTGATCATAAATGATATATTTCTGAATGAATGGATGTTTCTGTGGGTTTGCTGGTGGGAGAGCGCTGGCAGATTAAGGCAAACAGTTCCCTTTAAAAGAGCTGCCACTTTAATATGTCTGCATGTGATGGAGCATCATATGACAGAAGGAAAGGGGCTGAGTGGGAGTTGTTTTCCATCAGTGTTTTCTGAAACTTTCAGTCTTTCAGTCAAAACAGAAATGCACATCTGGTGAATTAAACCATTTGAATGTTTCAGTTTGAAGTGAATGTGGGTTTTCTACAATGTGCTGCCCTGTGGAGCAAATACTGCGCACGAGCTCAGAGACAAATCCAGATTCCAGTAAGTTTTAAATCTGGTGTTTAAGTGCTTAATATGACCTGCTGAAGACAAACAGAGCTACATTAGTCTTTTAAAGCCACAGTGAGACAATTACAGGAAGATATTTAAGGAAAATACACGCCTGATTTTGACTATACAGCATTCCCCTGAAAGATGGACATTCAAAACAGCCGATTTTAAGATTTATTACAAGTCTCAAAATGGGTTACAAAACACAAAAAGAATAGAGGGACATTTTTACTGGAGCAAAACTAGCTCACATTAGGAAACTTTAATGTTTTTTTAGGAGGCCATGCAGCATAAATCTCACTGAATGTTTCTGTAGAAACTAACCCTTTTACTCTTCGAGGGTGTTCAGCCATAAAACCTTTTACAATGTTAGTTTTACATTTTTCCTTACATGTGTTGTTTATATCTGTTGGATCTAAAGGAAGTCTTGTTTCTGTTTCTCCTGAATAAAAACATTGTTTAAATCAAAATGTATGGAGATAAAATGAAAGCATAGCAAAAAGCAGCTTTATGAGGGAGTCCAGTTTATAAGGATGAATCGTACCCGAGTCATGCACGGTGCACTTGATTGTAAATTCAGGCTCAATCTTGATGGTTGTTTTTTGTTTTTGTTTACAGCACCGAGTGCCCGACCTGACTGGCTATGGAGTGGTGTTGGCTTCAGACTGGATGACAGGGTCTTCAGGGAGGACAGGGTCACTTAGATTCTGAAGCAGCAGCAGCAAACTCTTCATAGATGTACACTGACTGGAAGTGACAGCTCGACTGCAGCCGACCTCCACCTCCTCCTTTTCTCTTCAGATACTCTTCCCCTCTTCCCCTCTCTCCCTCTTTATCCCCCTCTCTTCCTCCTCCCCACATCACCCTCTCCTTTCCTCCCCCCTGAGTTTCTTCTTGCTCTTCTATTTTTTCTCTTAGAATCTTTCTACTAATTCTTCGAGTCTTTGCTGCCTGTCGGCCTCCGGCTCCAGCATGAGCTGGCTTAGCAGGTTGAACCCGCGGGGACCAGGGAGTCGGTCTGGTCGGAGTGCCGCCCCCTCCAGCCCCTGCACGGCTGACCCGGAGACCTGCCTCATGGTGTTTGAGAACCACTGGAGACAGGTGAGCTACAGAGACTCCTGTTCTCTTGAATGTTTAATTTCAAGCTTTGTTCTCCGACTCCTTACTCTCAGGATTTTGTGTAGTTGCATCACGTTTCTGCTGTATTGCCTTCATCATGCAGTGTACAAGAAAACAACACAAGTCATTTGGACAGTTTCCTGTAAAGTGTTTGGTAGAACTTGTGCAACTTAACTTCTATTCTGCAAATTCATGGTCACCAGCATCTCCGTGTTCCAATCTGGAAGTGTATCTGCTGATATTCCTCATTTCCAAGTGTTAGAAATAATCACAAGAATCTCATTGTGACTCAGGTTACCAAGAAAAGTTCATTTATACAAAGGACTTCAAACTGTGAAGCACAGCTCTTCAGGAAGAATTGTCCACTTCTCAGCTCCTCTTCTGTGAATCATAATTCAGTCATATTTGAACACAAAGACTTGAGAGTTTGCAAGGTTATCATTACCCTTATGTCATAAAAAAGAGACCATAAAACCAACTAGGAATCAGGAAATGAGCCTCTGACTCACAAATCTCATGGTTTCGTACGGCAGCACCTTGAAGGGAGAGCAGATCATGGTGCAAAGTATGTTTACATCAATAAATAACAGAGCTGTTCATTTTAATTCTGCATCCTTTCATCCTTACGTCGTCCAGAGAGAAAAATGGGATCATCCCTAAAACCAACAGTTCAAATAGACTCAGTTTATTATCATACAAATCAGCAGAGTTGATGATTTGAGAAGCAAAAGCGTACTAGTGATTTTTTCCTTCATGAGACACTGAATGTTCACTTTAGTTCAAGAATAACTGATGGCGAGTCCAGTTAGAACATGAAGCCAGATTTTGAGTTTCAGTGAATGATTATCTCTCCTGACACCGAGTGTGAATGTTCGCAGTTTGAGTCGGCTGTGTTAATATTGATGAGTGTATTCAGTCAGTCTGCTGTTACATTGGGACTGGCTACTGTCCAATCACTGGCTGAGAGGTTTATAGGTAACAGATCAGTGCCAAACTCTGACTGTTGGATTTCCTCACAGGCAACACAAGCGATTCTGAGTGTCTGACTCACAGACGCTGTGGGTTTTTCAAGAACTCTTCAAAGCCTTTTAATTCAACTTTTGTAGTTAAGAATAAAAGAAACAAAAATATAACCACTTGGGCACTGATTTGCCTAGCGGTATTAATGTGCTCCTCATGTGCAGAGACTATAACCCTGTTACAGCGGCCTCTTTTCAGCTGTCTTATCAATATCAGAAAATCAAACAGAAAAAAGAAAAAGAAAAAGTAATGTAATGTCGCAGTTTGGGATGGGAATGACACATTTCTACTAGATGCCTGTTTTTGGTAGACTAATTTGTGTTGGTTTGAAGCTACTTAGTGAACTAAATGAGGTGGCATAAGTTTACATTAGGACGCATGAGGAACTGTATAAGAATTAAGTAATGTGTAAGAAAAAAGTCAATGTTCAAAGGTAAACCAAATGTGTAAAACTGTGTAAAAGAACACCAATGTTAATTATGACTATATAGACAATAAAGTGTCTATTTTAGCATATAAAGCTGTTCCTGTGTATCCAGCCTGTGACTGAAGGTGCTCTGTTGAATAACTTGTAAAATGTAGACCGGGTGTCTGAGCTTTTTCAGGATGGATTGAAATCTGAAAAGCACTCTTGCCTCTTTAACCTGCTGAATGCTCTCCACCCTTTTGTCCATTTGCAAATTATTTGAATAGAGTCCCATCTCTATCTCCAACAGTCTTTGCCTAAAGCTCTACTTCTTTGCATGGGAATGAACATTTCCTACCAACAGTAAACAAACTGCTGCCTTGACTATAAAAACAAGAGTTTAGAATGATTGTTTTCAAGATCAATCCTCCACATTTTCTCATGTGTCTGTCTAAGATTGCAGCTAATATGTTAGGAAATGAAAAATATGGGAAGATCAGTAGGAAACAAGTATGGAAAGCCACTAACTTTTGTTTTGTGCAATATTTACCAGCTCGGTTCATAGCGATATCATTTTTTATCTCACACCTCAACAAGCAGCACATCTCTTATCAACACATGCTGCCCACAGATCTGCAAATCATCACCGTTGAAGTCACACTGGCTGGTAAACCGCTCGATAAGTGATGTGAAACCTTAGTTCTAATAGGCCAATCTAGCTATTTCCTCATACAGCCCTTAGACAGTTAAGTGAAACTCCAGTGTTCTTTCCAGAGTGAGAAGCTTAGCGTCACTTCAGACATGTTAATAACCACATTCACCACAGCCACGGCGCTGAATGACTGTAATTCACATGTCTCTAAAATACTCTGTTCTGTAAGCAAAGGATTGAAGCAGAATGTAAAAAGGTGTTGTCATTTTTCAGAAGAGTACATAGAACATTTCCCACGCATGATTTGAAGTCCTAGTAGAATAGATATACGTGAAGTTAGAGCAAATTACAGTGAACTCCTATGAGTTCTCCTATGAAAATGAGCCACAGAGATAACTCTTGGAACTGAGGTCACCCTGTTTTATCAGGTGATAGGGTGAGAGGAATGTTCAGGCTAAATTTTGTTTTGTTTTTTTCAGGTCTCCTGGGTGTTGGAGCAGCACGAGCCTTCGTCCTCCAGCGACGACCTAACAGCGGTGAGGAACCACACCGACCAGATGTTGTGTCTGCTGGCAGAGGAGCGTCCTGCTGAGAGCTCAGACGGCGGCGCCACAGTGCCGCCCATGGGCCCGATCCTGGAGCTGGTGGTCACCGAGAATATCCTGGAGCACCTGGTTCAGTGGCACCTCCGCAGAGGCCTGGACCCGGACAGCCAAGGGGCGCTGCTCAAGCTGTTTGAGATGCTCATCGGCCAGTCCCAGCAGCCTTTGCTGCAGCACACAGCAGTCCTCCACCCTCTGCTGAGGCTGCTGGGAGCTTGTGCTGATCCGGAGCTTGGTTGTCCTTCAGGCCTGGAGAACAGTTTGGTCCTGCTGCTCAATCAGGTGGATTTACGTTTTATCCTCATGCTTTTCTGATGTGTGTACAGTTACCTAAAGTCTGTAGAAGAACTTCTGAAGCTAAGAACAAGACTAAACCTTTCTGAGTCTTGACCATCAGAAAAAGTGCATGTCAACCAAGGAACACTATGATTAGAGCTGCGTCGCTAGGCAACTCCAAGCACACTTTTGCAGCAAGTTTGCTCTGAAGGAAGGCTACGTTGCTAATTTAGTCACAAAGTGGATGAAGGGAAAGGAAAGAAAACATCAGATGACATCATGGCTGGATTTCAAATTTGTATCCGAGCAGCACTGAAACTTGAAGAGTCCACTCATGGAGGAAATCTTGTTCACAGCACCCTGCAGCATTCTACCTTTTCGTTTCGGTCTTCAGCATATTTTCTTTTTAATCACAGTCCTAAAATTTACAAGCTTTCTTTCAAAAATCAGGTTGAAATGAGCAACTAGATCAGAAGGCATACTGTTACACTGATTGAAAGTCAATTGTTTTTATGTTATTTGCCAAACACTAAACTCCTCTTTAAATGTATATCACACAAGCAAACACAAGTTATTAGATATCTTGTCAAAAGGTAAATGAAAAAAAAACATGGAATCAGGACTAGAGGTGCGGTAAGTGGAAAATGTTTGGCAGCAAAATAAAGAACAACATTTGGTCGATCATCTGTCTGTGCGAGAGGTAAAAAAAACATGGCGTGCAGTACCATCTGAAATGAAAAATATTCAGATTTTAAGGTTTTAAACACACATACAAAGATTTGGCTAACACTAAAGCAAGTTATTAAAGGTAGACGACATACAAACGTGTTTAAACACCTTGTATGTATTTAAATGTGGTCATTGTTTATGTTTCAGCCCTGATTTAACCTCTGCATCACACTCATTTACCAACTTAAAACCTCTCTGAAACTTAAAAACTCTAAATTCTTTAAAAGTGAGAGGACAACTGTTTAGCCCACGCCTTTAGTTTACTAAATCCTTTCTATCCGTCTATCTAGACCATAAGTCACATGTACCACTACTGAAAGGGACCATGCATCAGTTCTTCACTTTGAGATCTTTGATTTCATTTTAGTGATAATACTCAATAAGTTAAATGTCAGATTTCACTTGTGGTGATCCATTTTTTACACTGTGTCATAAAAACTGAAGGATTTGAGCTCTCTTGTTTAACTTCACATTGATTTTCATATATTTTAACTCACCATCAGGTCTGTGTGTCCATGGCCCGGCAGCCTGTCGTTCTGGAGATGTTGTTCAGGGCAGCACCAGCTCAGCAGGGCTCCACCAACCTTCTGATCTTCTCTCTCCTCGTTCCGTTCATCCACCGAGATGGAGCCATTGGACAGCAGGCCCGGGACGCGCTGCTCCTGGTCATGGCCACCTCGGCCAGCAACGAAGCTGTGGCCCGTTACATCGCTGAGAACTCGTACTTCTGCCCGGTGAGAAATGGTCCTCAGTGATGAGGATACGGTGACAGATGATGCTGGATTTGGACATCTGTTTCCATTTGCCTTGGCTTTCATTGTCCTTGGATTTCTTATGTTTTTATGTGTTGAGGTTTTTCTAAGAGAAACAGATTTTGGCTGAAGTAGCTGGAATTGTTGACACATTTTATTGGATAGTTGGCTCAGCTGAAAACACTGCTGAATTTGGCATAGCCTCTTTCCTGGCATTTAGCTGTGGCAAACTATGTACGAAATTACCCTGGATTTAGGTCAATAAAAAGGAGTCTATTGCTTTTACAAAACCACAGAAAATACTCATTTCTGAATGACAGATGGCCTTTAAAATGATATTTTCATGTCTTATACTCACTGCATCTTGAACAGATGGTAACCTTAGCTACATTAGTTTTTATTTTAAGAGTGAATTCACCATTAGATCGTGATTTCTTGAAGATTGAAGCACTTAAGTTGGTTCATACAGACTCTTAATGCTTTCCATCAAGTATGTTATATAAAATACAAAGATACTTTAAAGGGTGAGCTCCTCTTCTTTGTGTTGTAGGGTTTGATTACACAAACCAACACAAATCACCAAATTACAGCTACTTTATTTTCAGCTGTGTCCTTACATTAAGTCTGTATTTATAAGACATGACCCCCATAGAGGGATAGAACCACTAATACTGCATTCCTCTCTTTGCCAGGAGGCTACACTCTTCCTCTAGTTTACATAAAAACTGTGCATGTGATATCTAACACCACTGTTTGGGCTAATATTGGTTTATGTAGAAAAGTTCAGACTCTTGTGAAAATGACACATACTTAATGTAGTAGTCGAGAACAGTTAGAAGTGCAGGATCTTGGATGGCTTTCAAAAACCGAGTTATGTATACGTTTGAGCGTGTGCTGTCTCATTCTGATGCATCAGTGATGGAGTCTGATAGAAGAAGGGGAAGGACATGATGATGCACTCTGGCAGGACATTCACTCTTATCTACATCGGCCTTAACTTTGAAGGTTTCCTGTAGATAGCTCAAAAAAATACCACTGTAGCAATTTCTAAACACTGTCAAGGAGACTGACCAGCTAATTTAACTGACACTAACTCACATGATGGAACAGAAAATTCTCAGACTTTGTGCACAAAAAACTCCTTTTTTTCCTGTTAAGTGATAAATTCAATAATAGTTTTGTTTTTTACTGCTGGTATGTAGCTGTAAAAAAATACAAGCTTGTTGAGGGGACACTTAAGAGAGATAGAGATGGAGAGCCTTTCAAGTTTGAGCCTTTTCACTTAAACATTCATGTATCTACAGTAACAGTAAAAACATTCTTGCAGGATGTGATGTCAACTGCACTGCAAAAAAAAAAAGGGTATCGCACCAAAAATATGTTGCTCAATGAGAAATTAGCTGCTTGTGGTGTTTTCTCTTTCAAATTCCACCGAGTTTAATGAAAGAACTGTGTTTTTATTTTGCTTTTAGAATATAGGTCTGCTTAATAATACCCTTTTCATCTGCTGTATTTTGATTTAATAGTTACTCGGTGTGAAGCGAAGGTGTGAGCGTATACCAGTGAGCCAGGACTGTCCTTCTTAATCTGGTCACGAATCACAGCTTCTTTGCAGCTCTTCACCTTTAAAACTTCAGAACTGTTATCTCCCCGTCGCCGCTTTACTCTGGTGTTAAAGAGCCGGCTCAGCTATTTTCTGCTCGTCCTCCTTCCAGCAGCTTCGGTCTGACCTACTTACAGGCGAGAAGGACCAGCAGAGGTGGCATCAAGGACCAAATGTTCCTCTCTGTCTGAGACTCACTATTTCTTTCTATTTGACTTTTTATTTTTATTTGCATATATACCTTAAAAAAGCAGCAGAAAGAAAAATGTCTAAATCTGTTTGGGAGAGATATGGAACTTAAGAAGCACCACGTTCAAACGATTGCCCATAATGTAGCTTATAGAGGAGTCAATCACACGTGTGTCCCTGTTAGGTGACCCCATGCTTGTGTGTCATCACGATCGCCAGCCACTGAGCGATTATACGTTTATGAGAAGCATTGGATACAGTAATATCATCGCACACTGGACAGTTTTGTCAGACAAAATGAAGGAAAATTTTAACTATGACGCTACCCCACTTCATGATCAATAAACACCAGCAAAGCTACTTTAAAGCAGTGTGACTCAGAAAACTGTGACAGCCCCATTAAGTTATTGAGATTTGTTGGAGTACCAATCTTGCTGTTTGTAGTGCTTCCAACACCGCCAGCATCTGCTGTCTGAATAAACTCTTACATCTCCTCTAATGTACACTTTATGTTACGTTTTTCCACTCTTTCTGTTGAGTCACTGGTACTGTAATGAAAACACGAGGTGTTTCACTCAAGGTGCAGGTTTTATTTGTGATAAAAACAAGCCATATCTAAGATTACGACAGGTAGCGCTGGTTAGTGCCTGCACTTTTAGACTGTAGGATCTGTTATAGGATTTGTTGCAGAGCAGCACTTTGTTTTGACATAAAAATCCTCTATAAATAAATCTGCCAAAGAAGAAAAGACGAAAAAAATCTGTTCATTTTTCCTAAGTCCTTGCCAACAATCTCAGGTTGTGTTTTTGGTTGGACCATCTGTCGAAACCCCAAATATTTTGCTTGAGAAGTGACGACAGCTTTTAGTTTATATTGTGCCAATTCTAAGCTCTTTTATGTGTTTTATGTCACAAAAATCTGTCATTTATAAGTTTAAATCCCTTAAACGTATGGCCCTGTGTTGTTGAGAATCAGAATCTCCATCTGAAGCCTCTCTCTCCTCTTTCCCTTAGGTGTTAGCGACTGGCCTCAGCGCTCTCTACTCCTCTCTACCAAGGAAGATCGAGGTCCGGGGAGACGACTGGCACGCTCTGCGACGGGAGGACTGGATGGGCGTCGCGTCCCTTGTACTGTTCATGAACTCGTTGGAGTTCTGTAACGCTGTGGTGCAGGTCGCTCATCCTTTGGTGCGCTCGCAGCTCTTGGACTACCTCCACAACGGCTTCCTCGTTCCGGTCATGGGCCCTGCACTGCACAAGGTAGGATGAGTTTGATGGAGAAAAGCAAAACCATGATTACACTGAATAACTGCAAATGAAACCTGCCGTCAGCTGTGATTAAATGAAATTTCACATTAGGAAACAGTTTAGAAGACTTCATTTTGTAAGCTTTGAGTGACACGTTTTACCACAATTACCAGATCCGTTGAAGGATTTCCTGCATCATTGAAAGCTTCCTTTATAATGTTTACTTATTCTCCATCATCAGTTCCTCCCATGAATAAAATCTTTAATGATTTCAGTCTCCTCCTTCACTTTCCTCCTCAACATCCCACAAAAAAATCCAATGAAATGCAGTCTTCCTCTCTGGATACATTCAGAAATTGTAAAGGCCTCTTCTTTTTTGTACAGACTGTATCTGCACATGTTGGAATGAAAAGAAAAAGTTCAAAACACATTTCTCAGGAGAAACAGCAGAGAAATACTTCATCAGTTACTGTCAGTGTTGCAAGTTGGGTTCTTGTTGGGCTGTCCAGATACAATATTGATATCGGATATCAGTCCAATATCAGCCAAAAAACAAATATCAGATTATACCGATACAAACAGTCCATTCCAGACTCCACTCTGGCACCTCTAGCTAGCAGCGCCCAGATCCAACATTCAGAGCCCACATAATCACGACAACAATGTAAGGTACTAACAAAGTAGCAAGGAGTGAGAGTGATGTCGGCTGTATGGCAGTATTTTTCATTAAAGTCTGGAAAAGACGTTGCAGCTGAGTGAAAAACTTATACCAATATTGTACTGAAGGCTACAATATCGGTGTCGTATCAGAAGTAAAAAAGTTGGGTAACCCTTTCTTTTACGGATGACCGCCTTTATGAAAGGCTCATATGGCCTACAAATCACACAAAAAATGTAAACCTGAGACACTACCTGGTTATAACCTGGTATTAACCTGGTAATAACCTGAGATATTACCTGGTAATAACCTGGCTATAACCTGAGACATTACCTGGCAATTACTTGGTTATAACCTGGTTATAACCTGAGACATTACCTGGTTATAACCTGGCTATACCCTGAGACATTACCTGGTTATAACCTGGTAATAACCTGAGATATTACCTGGTAATAACCTGGTAAAAACCTGAGACATTACCTGGTAATAACCTGGTTATAACCTGAGACATTACCTGGTAGTTACCTGGTTATAACCTGGTTATAACCTGAGACATTACCTGGTAATAACCTGGTTATAACCTGCGACATTACCTGGTAATTACCTGGTAATAACCTGGTTTTAACCTGAGACATTACCTGGTTATAAGCTGGTTATAACCTGAGACATTACCTGGTTATAACCTGGTTATAACCTGAGACATTACCTGGTTATAACCTGGGCATAACCTGAGACATTACCTGGTTATAACCTGGTCATAACCTGAGACATTACCTGGTTATAACCTGGTTATAACCTGAGACATTACCTGGTTATAACCTGGGCATAACCTGAGACATTACCTGGTTATAACCTGGTTATAACCTGAGACATTACCTGGTTATAACCTGGGCATAACCTGAGACATTACCTGGTTATAACCTGAGACATTACCTGGTTATAACCTGGGCATAACCTGAGACATTACCTGGTTATAACCTGGCCATAACCTGAGACATTACCTGGTTATAACCTGGTTATAACCTGAGACATTACCTGGTTATAACCTGGGCATAACCTGAGACATTACCTGGTTATAACCTGGGCATAACCTGAGACATTACCTGGTTATAACCTGGTTAAAACCTGGTTATAACCTGAGACATTACCTGGTTATAATTTGGGCATAACCTGAGACATTACCTGGTTATAAACTGGTTTTAACCTGAGACATTACCTGGTTATAACCTTGTTATAACCTGAGACATTACCTGGTTATAACCTGAGACATTACTTGGTTATAACCTTGGCATAACCTGAGACATTACCTGGTTATAACCTGGTTATAACCTGAGACATTACCTGGTCAAAACCTGGGCATAACCTGCAAAATTACCCGGTAATTACCTGGTAATTACCTGCGAAATTACCTGGTAATAAGTGTACTGTAAAAGAAAGGGTTACCAAAAATTGTATTGGGACACCCCTAGTTCTTGTCAAATCTCCAGTAAAACAGTTGGGTTGGTGTGCATAGGAAGAATAGTTTGACCCCGTACCGAAGGAAACAGCAAGATTCAATGTTGACGTGGCGTACAAATCAGACTATCAAACTGCACAAACCATCCCTCTTTCCCTGGGCATAAATTTTCTTCCTGAATAGGCTGGAAGGTGTTAACACAAGGCAGTTTGTCTGATCAGGCTGTTGTTGTGGTTGTTCGTGGTCCATGTGAGCAGAGTTTAAGAGAGAGAGACTTTCTCCACTATGTTAAGACTGTGGTGCAGCTACTCCTCTCTAATGCAGCATTACTCAATACTGTTGTTTTTGTGTTAGGTGTAGCGTCTTCTTTCAGCTCCTTTGAAACAGGTATGAATCCCCCATTCTGGCCTCAGTTCCGCTCTCATTTAGCGGGAAACGTGGGTGGATGTAAAACAGCAAATTGCCTTTTTGGCAGAATCATGCAGCAGTGAGGGGATAATTGTGGTCATTGTTTTTTTTGTGTGTGTGTGGTTGAAGTAAACAGAGGCTCTATGTAAAACAGGATCAGGTGGGAAAATAATTGCATTAACCTTTCTTGAATAACTAGGGGGTATTTTATGGCTTATCTGAATGTTAATTATCAAAAGGCTCAGAGCATCAGGTGGACTGATCGGTTTAAAAAATGAGCGAACTCTAAAACACGAGTTTACTGTTTGTAAAGTCTGTCTTACACTGTGTCCTTTGCCCTATTTTTGCAGTTTTATAGGATTCCCTGTGTGAGTATATTTGTGTGTTTCTCTGTGATTGTAGTCATCAGTAGATGAGATGATCGCCAGCACCGCCTACCTTGACCTTTTCCTGCGCAGTGTGTCGGAAACCTCCCTTCTCAAAACCTTCCTGCGCTTCATACTGCTGCATCGCCACGACAACGACACCATCCTCGACACACTGCTCACACGCATCAGCAGCAACTCAAGGGTATAAAATAATTTCCACATGTTTATGTTCTTCATGTGGTTGGTCCATGAGGCCTTATATAAACTCTATTGTGTGGGTGGTAAGTGGGTGAAGAGCAAGAACTTGATTACATGTTGCTGATTTTCACAGAGCAAACATGGGAAGTAAACGTCAACATTTCTGCTTCTGTTGTGTTGGGTAGTGTTTGCAGTTGGTGGACCAATCCACAGTAAAAATGTGTAAATAATTGCAAACTTTCTAGACATAATAAAGTGTTTGTTTTAATCTTTTAAATGTCTCTTCAGAGAAATGGGGAGATCAAACTGAGAGTAAGATTTCAGCTCTAAAGTCAAGCTGTGTTCAGGCTGTCATCGTCAGAACAAAGACATTTTTATCAGATCTTAACTTATCTGAAAAAATGTTCATGTTGAGAAAAGGCCTGTTAAAAAAGGAAAACCCTCTACATTTTTAACAGTCTTTTGAACTCTGTTATTTCTTTGGATTACAACTTCTCCCTCCTTGTGTTGCAGCTCTGTATGGTATCCCTGAGCCTCTTCAGGACTCTTCTTTCCCTGAACTGTGAAGACATCATGCTGCAGCTTGTTCTCAGGTATTAAGTCTCTCTAGTAGATAAAACTCATCAGATCAAACAGCCTTAGTACACCACTGGTATTAGTGATCACTGGGAGTGACCAGAAGTCATATCCGGGTCCTGAATGAGCTGTTTTCTCTTTCGTGAACTACGCTGTTAGAACCGAATGAACTCTGACACTGATGTCAGCATATTTTACATATTACACTGAAACCAAAAGAGACAACCCTGCTGAAGAAAATGCAGTGTAGTGATTTCCACAAAACAGCCTGTTGAGGTCAAATACAACTTAATTCCAGTAAAGGTTGTGACACCGTGTGAACTGTTTGTCAAAACAGAATTTGAAGGTTTGCAAATCATTTCAACTCTACAAGAAAACAACAACAGCACAAAGGTAACAACGAATGAATGCTGAAGATAAAAAATTGAATATTTTTATAAAAAACATTTTGAATTGGTTTCAAAAACACCTAGTGGCAAAGAGACAGAAATGACAGACATGTTGATTGTCGTTTTTCATCACCTCTTCTCTTAAAAGCACAGCGGAGACCGTTTTCTGGAGTTTGGAAAGTGAAATGTCGACCCATGCTGCCTGATAAAGAGTGTCTGCTGCTCAACAGCAAAGGGTCCTCTTTGTTGCATTTTTGAGCGACAAATGTTGAGTCATGAGGCACCAAATGTTTTCAGTGGATGAAAAGTCGGGACTATGAGCAGGCCAGTTTGGCATCTGCAATCATCTACCGCTGAGCCATGCTCTTGTGAAATGTGCAGTCTGGTTTGGTATTCTGAATCATGTTTTCGTATGGGTGCCTTTTTGAATGGTAGTTTCAACCTGTGTTTGTGGATGCAGCAACATATGTCTTCAAAGACAATGCTTCCTGATAGGAATTTGGAGCCCATGCAGTAACTCCCACTACAGAGCCATGTATGTTTTAAATTCAGTGCGCCTCAGGGTCCATGATTTGCATCCATCCAGTATTTGTCTTTTGGAAAGTCTGTGCAGGGGACGACAAAGACAGTATCGAATTATTTCCGGTTTGTTTATTATTTTGTGTGTTTTTTTCCCTCTCAGGTATCTACTGCCCTGCACCCATGTAATGCTGAGTCAGCGTCGTGCTATCAGGGAGACTGACATGTACGGAAAGTCAGCAGATAAGTTCCTGTCCCTGATTCCCGAGTGCTGCCGCTTCCCTGCAACGCCCTCTACTGAGCGGGAAGAAGACAACCCGTTCTGGGGTAAAGGTGAGAAAGAAGGAACACCTGTGGAGACGTTAAAGCAGTTCAATGTTGATATGTTTATATTTAACTGTATTTTGTGATCATGTAGACAAGTGAAGCACCAAAATTAAACTGATGAAACTGTGTCTCTGTCTTGTCCTTCCACAGTACTGAACAGTCCCAGCACAGAGTCTCCAGCCCCTCCCAGACCCAGCACCCCGTCCCGGTTAGCCTTCTTCATCCGCCAGCCAAGCATTGGAAGCGGATTAGGAGGAGGTGGTCCCTCCACCCCCACCAGCATGGAGGCCATGCAGTCGGGTCCTCACAGCTCGCACCCTCTCTCTCCTGACAGCCCGATGCACTCTCAGCTCCCTCACACAGAGAGTCTGGACTGGGATTCAGGCTACCTGGAGTACCTCAAAGACGCTCGGCGGGGGATCGAGTTTTGCTCCTGGGCTTGTCGCGACTGGTCGGCGCCCTATGATGGAGAAAACCCTTCCCCGAATGCAGTCCCTCCACCCCCACCGCCCCCTACCTCTAACCCCTCCATGACCATGTTCCCTGAGCACTTCTCCTTCCAGCAAGGAGGGAGCAGTAACACTCCTCCAGGCCAGCAGAGGGCAGCCATCGTGGCTGCGGCACGATCAGAGTGGAGCAGCTCGGAGCGGGACAGCGGGGAGTGGGACGTCACGATCGGCAAGAACAACTGCATCAGCCTCACGCCACGCTCCAAGAAACGCAGCCTGCAGAGAGAGGAGCTTCTGCCAAAGCCTGTACCTCGCCTCGTACCCTCCTCCTCGTCTTCAACTGCTCCTTTATCGACCTCCCACACTGCCTCACCCCCTGCTCCTCACATTCCAACGTCTGCCATCACTGTTAGCTACCAGGCTATGTATAACGGGACAATGGGTGGGGACAGCTGCTCAGACAATCAGGACAGAGGACTGGAGGTGAAGAAAGTGAAGAGAGACTTGGGAGAGCAGCAGTATTTGGATGAAAATGCCAATCAAAACGGATCCCTCGTCACGTGCCCCTCCCAAAGCTGCTCAGCACTCACACAGTCCATTTTTAACAACAGTGACATGAGTGACTCTACATCTCTTTGTGCTAACCAGATTGCCTCTCAGAGCTCCGTTACCCAGCAACCGTCTGACACCAAACTGCCGACCAGCGACACCTCAAACCCACACGGTGCATCCTCAGATCTTCCAGAAGTCAATCAGTCACAACAGTCTGTAGAAAGTTTAATCCAGGAGCTGCTGGAGCAGGCGCCCGGAGAGCCGCAGCTGCCCGGAGACTCCAACGGTCAGGGCATCAGCATCGAGGCCTTCACACAAGAGCTGAGCGAACTGGAGGATCGTGTGAAGGAGCGCTGCAGAGCGGCCTGTCAGCTGGAGGAAACTGCAAGAGAGTCGCTGTCTGCTGAGCGGCAGGGGGAGGAGCAGCAGCTGTCGACCGAGATGAAGCTGACAGGAGACTCGAAGGGAGAGGGGGCAATGGTGGGCATCTGTAGTCCTGCCAGGCCCCTCAATCAGCCTTCCTCTCAGCCGTACACAGGTCAGACACACAACATTAATGTCACTGTGTTTTAGATAAAATCTCTGCTGCTATTACAGTCCTGTTTTTTCCACTTTAGGCAACTGATTTAGTTTTTGTGGCTAATGTTATGATGGTAATCCATACAGGGCATCTTTGAGTCAGAATATAATAAGACATTTTCTTTGCAGATTCCAAACCTTTTATATTCACTGTTCTCAAACATGAAGACACTGAATGGCTGCTTCATAAGGGTACAGAGGATCACAAATCTCAGGGTTAGGTTCAGCACACAGATCGACAAAAAAGAGAAATATTCATGAACTATATTTATCCAACTTCTCGCCTCCTTTCTGGGCCATCATCCTCACAATGGGTCGACCAATACAGATACCTATACCAATATTAGTGAATATAATATGACCGATTACTGATATTTGAAAGAGATATGCGTTTACGTTAAAATTAAAATCTTCCTGTCAAAATTAAATTTATAATATTGCAAACTTTATCAAAAAAACTTTCCTTAAATGCTTTTAGTTAACGTTTCATCAAAACTGAAACTTTCAAGAGCATGTGGAAGGAGGTCTGTCTTTTGATCACCCCCTTGTGCAGGTAAATGCAGTTATTTGTCTTTTTTTAATTGCTCATTAGTGTCCCCTCACTTAAACACTCGGAGCACAGGTGGGCGGGGCTAACACACAGAGACAGGCATCTTTCTCATGCTTGTATTAGTATAAAGCAGAAGCATGGACGACTACTTGATTTTTTCATACTTGTTTACATTATATTACACAGTTCTGATGCTCTGCTACACACATGCTGAAGACAGTGCTGCGTTCATAGACAGTTGTAAATCACATTATTATTTTTGGTCTCATACATTCTTTGAAAAAGTGTCCTTGATTACCCAGAATGCTGCGGGCTGCATGTTGTGAAGCTCAGTTCTTGAATCAGTGCTTTTTGTGGTCACTCTGTCTTGACGAACACAGGAGGGTTTTTTTTGGTCAAAGACAGTCACATCAGCGAAGAGCCATTTCTGAGCTCAAGCCCGCTCTGTCTGTCCATGATAAGGAAAAACTAATTCAGGCCTTCATAACATCATAACTGAGTTATTGTTGTTCTCTGTCCTCAAGTCAGCCCCAGTCCTCATTTCAGCTGCTTCCAAATGGAACTGCAGGGATGCTGACTGGTATTAAAAAAGTTTAAACTCATCACTCCAATCCTTGCCTTCCTTTATTGGCTTCTAGTTCATTTTAGAATTTGATTTAAGACCTCGCTGAGTGCTTGAAAGGCTCTTAATGGCCTTATCTCACACCACAGACCTTTTTAACCGGCACTTACCTCCAAGGGCTCAGATGTAACAAAAACCTCTCTCAGTCACAACTTAAACTAAAGATGACAGCGCCTGTGTACACGCCACCTGATACTGAGTTTTCACTCTGGAGCTACATTTCTAAACCAAGCTGAAGACAAAGTCGTGTTCAGTGGCCTTTTCCTCTTTAGAGCCCTTAATCTATTGTCTCATAGGCACCCTTCTCTGTTTGCTTTGACCTCATACGTTTTTATCCTTTTGTACTTTCTTAAGATGATACATTTAAAGAAGCTCTGAAATCAGCTTTAGTCACCTTTTCCCGATTTTTTCACAATATCAGTTGCAGACCCTCGGACATCACCTCTTCTTTTTCTGTCTCCTCGAAGCCACGTGTCTGTGCGCCTCTAACAATCTTAATTAGGAGTCACACTCCTGTTTTTAGAACAGGGTTCCTATGCAAGTTTGGAAATTATGGAAAAGTATGGAATAAATTTGATCAATTTCCAGGTCTTAAAAAGTATGGAAAATAAAAAAAATAACTCATGGACTATTACCACAGCTATAAAATACTGTCTTCAAAAAAAGAAAAGTAGGTATTTTCAAAAATAATTCCAAAAAGTAGGCTATGGAAAAGTATGGAAATTCCAAATATGTAGGAACCCTGTGAAAGTTAAACTTCAAATTCCTTTATCAGGTGATCCTCACACGGGGAAGGATAACTGTGTAATGAGGAACTTCCACCAGATCCATGTTTGGTCTGACTCTGCTCCTCCACGAGGCTGATAGATTTCCCCGCAGCCAATAATCCACCGGCTTAAATGCATTACGTTCCTGCTGCATCTAAGCTCCAGCGATCTGAAACCTTTGGCAGCAGATTCGCACGGCTCCTGTTTTTGCCAGTCGCAGAATCACTGTGCATTAATTCAGCAAAGGGCTGATGGAACAAGACAGGAAGTCGTACACTGAAACAACAATGAAACATGAGACTGCAGCGGCCTCTGCAAGAAAAAGAATTGAATAATTACTTGTTGTTGTTTTTTTGTTTGATTTTCAAGAATTAATGCCAGAAGGTGTTTCACTTAATCATAACCGAGTACTGGCGTAATGAGAGAGGTGAGGTGGTCAAGTGTTCAGTGGTCTACTGAATCAAAATTTAACATCCTTTTTGGAGATCATGGATAGCCAGTCCAGTGTTCTTAACAGGAGAAAAGCCACCAAGATTGTGATTAACGCACAGTTCAAAAGTGGGCATTCGTGATGGTATGGCATGGCATAGGTAGCTCACAGATCTAAGCAAAGAGAACCTCTGATTATGTTATTATTGATGTTATGCAACATTTGTGGGAAATCCTCAGTCCTGGCGGTGCTGCTGCTGCTCAGTGCTGCACTGTTAAAACGCAGCGGGTGAGTGTTGACAAGATGAGAGAGCACAAAGCCCAACCATGACAGAGACTGAACATGGGTTTGGTAGGAATCCAGAGAGAGCTCTATAACTTAAACAACAACAACAAGTAGCAGGTTTATATTTGACATGTTTAAAAAGACTGAAAAGTGGAGAATACTGATGTTACCCATTCACTCTGATATCATTCATCGTTAATAAAGGGGTTAATAGAGGAGAAATGTGTAAATACATGGCAGATATACCATTAATATACCTGGGCGGCCCACCCAGGTTTGGTTTATGTGTGGGAAACACTGAGTACGTTCAATTCAAATCATCCCTGAGAACCACAATACATCCACACTGTCCTGCCCTCTTAGCAGTCCACAGCACAGATTTGTTTTATAGATAAAACTGTGAAAGTCCCTTAGGTCAGTAAAGCCCACAGCAGAATAGGCTCTTGTTTCAGTCTGAAGCCAAACCTCGATGATTTTTCAAGTTCACTGACTCTTGTTTGTAGTATTTGTAACATTTTCTCTCACCCGTCTTGCTCTGTTGTGTTCATCTGGTGCACACAGCCTCACTGGAGCCACATTTTTCAACAGAGCTGTCAATCAGGGCAATAAAACTCTAGTTTTAGCATCAGATAACCAACTAAAACTAAAACTCTTGGAAAACAAACATTCAGACAGGAGTCAGTTTGATGAGATAGGAGTTCAATGACAGAAACTTAGTTTGAACAACGATTATTTGACTCCATTTTAAAGTTTGAGCCATGTCCCATCTGTTAACATGGAGGAGACAGGCTTAATGAACTATACTGCTGCAAAGTAAGCCGTAACACTAATCAAACTATTTCAGCTTTGTTTAAAGATGATGAGACGTGCATTCATAGTTTTTAGTCAACAGACAAAAGTCCGAAACAGGAAGCTACACACGCTGCCTACATGCTTTGATTGAGATGTTTAAGCTGTCTACATATGGATCCATATTAACGGCTAATGCATCTGTGGGTTCACACTTCTTACTTGTTCGATCACTCATCGCCCTGTAATTTTAAGAGCCTAGTTACACATTTTGAAGAATTTTTATATAAAGCTGACTGGAAGTGGAAATTTTCTGTTGCATTTCTCAGCAGCAGCAGCAGCTCCCAACAAAAGGCTGAACCATTTTTCTTCTTAGTACTTTACTGGAAGAGTTTTCAGTAAGTCAGAGACCTGAAGTTATAGAGGATAATAAGAGCTTGTCACTCTTCGCAGTAGCAGCGCTGCTAAAGAATTGTGGCGAATTTAATTGTCCCCATTTCACCTTTTCAAGTTGTTAAGACTTCCTGCTGCTTTCTCTCAGCAGTCTGTCAGCCTGAACGTCACATCAGTCATCTTTTAAAAGGCTGTCAACGACTTCTCTCAGCTCACCCCCCAGTTTGTTCACTCGCAGCAGCCAAGTTTTATCTCAGATCGTTCCGTTTCGTAACCACGACTCTTTCTCCGTGCAGGTCCGTTCATGGTGGTTCTGTTTGCCAAGTTGGAGAACATGCTGCAAAACTCACTGTATGTCAACATCCTGCTGACGGGCATCGTGGCTCAGCTGGCCTGCTATCCTCAGCCTCTCCTCCGCTCCTTCCTGCTCAACACCAACATGGTCTTCCAGCCCAGTGTCAAGTCACTCATCCAGGTAGAGCAGACCAAACTAAACCCAGGATACGCTGGCCTCGACGCTTTCATTCACATTACCGAAACGAGCTCTAAGGAGGAACAAGAAGACAAGAAATGATCGCATTTTACATAATTGTCCACTTTCAGCCCACTTCACTTCTGTGCTGTTTTTCTCTTCCAAGAGCATCAGACCCACAATGCATTTGAATAGTTTTTTTTTCTGCCCAATTTTGTCCCTCCTCTATGAAAATGTAACCTGTGACTAGACATGGCAGGAAAAAGCAACTTGTCTGTTTAGATAGTCACAATAGGCTTTATTCAACAACATCTCCATACCATTCTTGTCTTGAATCGTCCCCAAGAGACGTCTGCTCCTAAACTACAGTTTTTTTTACTCCTGTGTTCTTACATTGATGAATACTGTGTCCTTGTGCTGTTTTTTCCTAATTAGCACACAAAAGACCGCAGTGCCTGTGCACACAGAAACCTCATAGGATTTAGACGGGAAGTGGAGGGACGGCAAAAACGTGCAAATTAGAATTAAAATGGTTATTCATCGGACTTGAAGTGAACAAACACTGAAATAAAGGAGGCATTAATGAGTGGGTTTATTATGTTGAGCAGCACCAGCAGGAGAAGTGGGACATAATATCCATAAGGCAATTAACTGTGTTGTCGTTCTCACCTGCGTTACACAACCATCAGTATACGGGGGTGAAATATTGATTCCTGTGTAGAATAACTACGGCGCTTATAGTAGATTTCTCTGTCGATTTTTCTCTTTGTCGCTCCGCAGCGTGGTGCTAAACACTCAAAGGAGGAAAATGTAAACAGCGGTTAATTTGCCGAAGGAGTAAAAGTTGACATTTGCAGAATACTAGAGGAAGACAGCGGTGGAAAGAAGTTAAAAGACAGCAAAGTTTTTTTAGCTTTTCACACTGAAACAAGAGGGAAGATGGAGGATGCACTCTAGTATGTGTTGCTCTTCTGCGATCGATGGACTTAAAAGCCTGCGCAGTCCTTTTGTGATAGTTATTACCTGTTTTATTGACAATGGAGGGAAATGCTATAAACAGCTGTCCTCCATGAGTCTTTCAGAGGTGCTCATGTGGCCAAAGTTTTACTGACGGTTACAGAGAGTTGGAATCTGACTGTAAGAGAACTGGCCATAGGGATTTTGCAGTGAATAGGAATGTAGCTGTTGACATGTTGACATAAAATCAAGGTCAACAAAAACAACATCCAGTTCGAGAAGGTTCCAAGTACCATGGTCAACTTTAATCATGTAGGCGTGGAAATGATGCTTCATCTCATCCTAACTTTCCACTATTTAGAGAAATACTGACGCAGTATCCAAGAAAAACTAAGTCAGCCTCTTCTCAGTCAAAGCCCCTCTAACTCTTTCCACCCTCCTTCTCCTTCAGGTTCTTGGTTCTGTGAAGAACCGTATCGAGGCGTTTGCAGCCTCCCATGAGGACTTCCCTGCCATGCTGAGGAAAGCTCAGCAGTACCTGGTGGCTCGAGGCAAAGTGGACTGGTCAGACACGCCTGCGGGAGTCCCAACCCTGCGGCGCTCTGATTCACTGGGTGAGCATGGAAACAGGAGGAGCAGAGTAACGCATGCAGAGTTTGTTTAAGTTTGTCTGCAGGGGTTGGTCTCGTGCCTCTGGTCTCAAATCAGACTTTCATGAGTCAGAGGAAGTTTCCTCTTCATCTTTGGCTCTTATAACTAGAATAGATGCAGGTTTCTTTTGATGTTTCCTGGTCTGAAAACATTTTACAGGTTGTTGACGCAAAAACTTTATTTTTACAAACCGCAAAGTAAAGCAGCACAGATCCCCTCCTAAATTAGGCTGTTAGACATTTTTGAGGCCTTTAAATCAGCAGTGTCAATGCAACACCTACTTATACCACATTTGTATTTCTTACTTTCAACGATTCATGTCCATGAAATTCCCATAACAATGAAAACTGATGTGAACTGCTGCAAGATTTTCATTTCAAATCAGTCCATTTGTTACCAAACGTTTACTGTGTCCAGGAAAGACTTTAAAGTGCACTTCAATTTTTTGATGAGATTTCAGCCTCTTTAAAACTCAAGGCCAACTTTCTAGAAGTTCAAAGACTTCCAGATGAATCCTAAGTCACAGGTCTTTGCCTTCGTTGGAAGTAATTGCCCCCCAAACCAAATAATCAAAGAAAAGAGTCTTTCACATCGCTGTGGAGGAATTTTGGCCCACTCTCCTTTTAATCTGGAAGATTTGCTGCTGTGTTCACACGTAAGCTCACCCAAAATGATTCCGGGGGGCTAGAAGGAAATAGCCTGGGTGAAAAACTGATCTTTCTGTTCACACATGCAGCTCACCTGCAGGATAATTTTGGGAAATCTTCAGGAACTGTGTGTGTGTGTATGAAGGGGGTCATAGAGTAAGTGGTGACTGTAACTCCTGACAACCTCTGCTAAATCCTCACTCCACTAAAGCTCAGTTAATCTGATGATAACCATTTCAAACTCTTCAAAATAAAAGTCCCTTGTTGTTTCTGTTGCAGTCTGTTGATGATAATTTTCTACAGATATTGTATCAAAGTTCAAATTCTGGGGTTGTGATGTCCCTTATGTCCTGTAAACTTCATGTATTCCTCCAGTTAAAAGTCGCAAGCCATCCCTCGGAGACCTGATCCTCCGTCACACCAACAGCCCAACGAGAGCCCGACACGCCGCTCAGCTCGCCCTCGCACACGTACGGGATGGCGGCCAATCACTGCACAGTGCTCTGTTCAGGGGCAGCGCAGGCGGAGGGGCGTCCGGCCTGGAGAAGCAGGCCGAGGCCCTGCGGGTGAAGAACGCCGTCTACTGTGCCGTCATCTTCTGTGAGTTCCTCAAGGAGCTGGCCGCCCTGGCTCAAGAGCACGCCGTCAGTCTGCCTTTCCCTCAGAGCCAGGAGGCGGAGGAGTAGGCGGTGAACTCTTCAAACTGAGCATTCAGACTCCGTTTTTCTTTCTGTTTAGGCTCTGAGATGAGCTGTGTAGGATTGTCCGTCACCAGAGGACTGTGGCCCTGAAACGTTCAGTCACTGTAATGACTAAAAGAAACAGCACGAGGAAAACCGGCATTTTTCTACCAAATCATTATAGGACCCCTATAAGACTGGAAGATGTTTCCTCATGTGTAAACTTGAGCGATGTTGTGCATATCATTAATTATATTGACATTCTATCCACCGAAAATCTCAGTGAGAGCCTGAGATGAGGGAGCTTGTACATACACATACCATGTCTTGGTATAATGTGACACAGTGAAGCCACAGGTGATAGAAGTAGGTGCACATGCTGGTGCTAGTTAACACTCTTACTCTTTTATTTTGAAAGGGGGCTTTCAGGCAGCACAGAGGAGAAGGTTCTGTCCTCAACAAAACCCTGACACCAAAAACGGTTCTGCAGGAAAAACGCTGAAAGCCTCGGCCGTCTCTTTCATTACACACTTTTTTTTTTCTTTGTCCTCCTTCAAGGATCGGCCGAAATAGAGAGTTCAGAGAAAAGCAGGAAACTGTAACATCTGAAGTGTCCGTTTCATTTTATAAAAGGCCGTGAAAACTGGAAGTTCAAGTGAGGCAGGGCCACTTTCTCTGTTATTCATCAGCACAGCCGTCACTGACATACTGGAAAACCTTTGGGTAGTGTTGCCATTTTTATTACATTTCCTTATAAATGTTTTTTTCTTTTTTTTGCGTTTGCATTTGCACCGTTTTCAAGACATATCAGCCACATGTGGGAGCAGGAGTGTGTGTGCGTTTGTGTGTGTGTTTATTTTAGCGAATGACACCAAGGTGACGCAGACTCTCCAGACCACCAGTTATCTGCTCACCTGTTGCTACGAAAGAGGCGGCGGGGGTCTAAAAAAGCAGCGCCGCTTTAACAGTGAAGACCTTTTGTGTGTCATTTGAGTCTTTTTCAAAAAGGACCCCAGAGTCCGCTGAAAAAAAGACTCCTGAAGGGAAACGTTTTTCTTCTGTTTTCTTTTTTTGTTTCTTCTTGGAAGCGTAGGAACAATTTCCGTTTTTTTGAACTGACAGTTAAAAAAAAAAAAAACCTCATGAGGCATTCACTGACTTCTTTTAAAAGCTGTTTTGTTTGTGAGCTAAAAGTGAAGCTTGTCAGAGCGAACTCCATTTCAACTTTTGTTTCGTGAAGCTGCAAAACTGTCTCCTCTGAGTGAGACAAGCCAAACTGAACAAACAACGGTTCTTGTTGGAACTTAACAAGCTGCTATTTTTAACACTAACCCCCTTTTTTTTAAAAGTAGTGTAACTGCTACCATCCCCTCATTTGATTGTTCGGTACCAAGTATAAACGTGTGTGTGAGGATGAGGAAGAGGAGGAGGAGGAGGAGGAGGCAGTGCCAGTGTTGTGATTGGATTTTAATTTATTTTCTCGTGTCTGAGGGTTGAGTGAAGTCACAGCCGCACAGTGTTGAAGCTTTTTGCCAAGAAAAAAAAACAACTCCTTTAACATTTTAAGACTCTGATCGGATGTTTGCTGGTGTTTTGTTTTATATAATAATTATCCGTAATTTTACAAACTGTAATTTCAGATTAATTTTCTTGTTTCTTTTTGAGAAATTTCCAGGACATGAATAGGGACTTAGGAAGCAGCAAAATGAAGAATTAACTGTATGACCTTGCTTTTCGTGAAATAATGATTTTCTTGAACATCCACTCTGAAATTTTGGCAGAAGATAAACTGCTAAAAAGCGCCTGCCATTCTGCAAAGTCTTAATCTTTGAAATACTTCATTTTTTAAACATTTTTCCGAACAAGTCGAGACTTTCTCAGCTTGTCAATGCCATAACCATGGTCTTTGTGTTAGTCAGTGTAGTACTTCATTACTGCTGTGCATCACTTTTCTATGAGATTTCTAGACACATTTTATAACATCAGTATAAGTCGTTTTGTAAAAATATTAGTTTAAGAGTTTCTGCATGCAGATTAAGGCCAGATTTATAGGAACATAATGAGAAATAGCTTAGATGAGGTTTTCTTTGGTTTGTAGGTGACCTGAAAATCACCCCCGTGCAGTAGGTTTTAGTGAGTCATCCCTCCAGCCTGAAGACACGTTTCACACTGAATGTTTCCTCTCAGCGAATCTAACTGTAAGAAGAAATCACTTCTGTGTTTTACCCACTGCCATCAGTCCGTCCATCTGTTCACCTCGCTCTGCTTTTGTACATCTGTGTGTTAAAAAACAAGAGAAGTGTCTGCGGTGAACAGAAAAAGGAAAGCCAGAGGCTCCGCACTCCTCGTCTGGTTTCTCCATTTTACACTCAAGATTGTGCTTTTTTTAACAAAGCTATTTTTACAAACACTTCTGTTCAGGAGTTTTTGAGCACCAAGGTAAATGTTCAGATTCTCAGTACTGTGTGTGTTTTTTTTTTTCAATCACGGTGTAACCAAGCAGTTTCAGCACCTAATCTGTTTTTCTGTTGTATTCACCTACACCAAAGACAATCTCTCTCCCTCTGACAATACCTGAAGCATTGATTGTCTTTTTAGGAATTCAGTAAAAATTTCAACAGTGATCGAGCAGCACTTTTACGTGCTGAAAGTGCCCGCTAATAACCCAAGAAAAAAGAAGTGCCAATGCTGACCGAACTTCAATTGCAGTAAAAGTTTTGTGGCCAAACAGAAGGACAAACGTGAGTTCAAATCAAACTCGCAAATTTTATCCATATAAATCAAATCAACTATTTAATTTAAATTAAAAACTCTAACAGAAAAAGGAAAGGAGGCTTTTTGAAGATCCAGCCCAATTTAAAAAAGGGAGGTAAAAAATTTAAAGCTCCTGTGGGAAACTTTCAGTCGGTGTTGATTGTGGCGCCCCCCTGTGTTGTTGCCACTTCCTTGTAAAAGTGGTTTTAACAAGCTGTTGTGTAAAGTACAACAGGAGATCCTGTTAAATACGGCGTCATTTGCTTTTATACGTCATAGAGACGTATTACTGCCTGTTTCAGTCTGTTTCATAACTTACTGAAAATTCCTCACAGGAGCTTTAAAGTGACGGCACTATTGTCATGTGACAGATTCAGGCCTGTTTACACCTATCCACATCTCCCACAGTCATTTTAACCCTTTCTGTTTTGGTGTCTTTTAAATACGTTTCATTTGTTAGACCACAAAGAGATAGTTGAGGGTTAAGTTACAAATAGATTGTCTTTATTAGGGAGTAAATATAAAGTGAAATAGAACAGGAAGTCTGCATTTTTACTGTATGAGATTAACTTGCACTAAGGAAGTTGTTTTTCTACAATCTAGACCCAAAATGAAAAATGTTCAGAAACCAGTAGAGATTGTGGATGGGGGACAAAACAAATATCATCATTAGTGGTGCACTTGTGTGTCGTCTTAACCAGTATCACATCATCATTGGCAAAAGGTGTGAACCAATGTCAGCAGCCAGTGTTTATCTATATGTTTATCACATCTAACAGTAGTTAGTTCGCCAAACTGCGAATTCAGAGAAGAGATTTTCATCGGGCAGAAGAAGTCTTCTGTTGATTTGTGTTTGTGGTCAAATAAAAAGGGAAATGTTGGCAGGAGTTATTAAACCATCAGAAAAAAATCAGCCACATGTAAAAGATGTTCCAGAGACATTTTCAGTCGGACTTCAAAGGAGGGACTACTTAAATCCATTATCTGAAAAACAGACATGGAGAATTTTTAAAATGTAGTAGTACTGAAAACATCACACGGCCAGTTAAAGTCTGACTGTAAACATCAGCTCTGATTTTCACAGTCGGTGCATCTCTTACTATCATGGATTTACACTCCTTAAATCTACATATGGGAAAGTTATATTGGTGTATGACTGTGCAGCATCTAACACGGGTGGATTCAAAATAAGAGCAGAATTATCTGAACTGCAGGTGCTTTATCGGCAGTCGGCACCACCACAGAGAACAATTTATTGTAAAGGAAAAAACCAAATGATTACTCTTTAAAAAAAAAAAAAAAAAAGTTAAATGTGTGTCTCTATAACGAATTAATACCTTGAATTATATTAACTAAGGTGGTTTCTGTTAATTTCGTAACCACAGCTCAACTTAAAACTTGATTAAACTTTGATGTAAACTGACAAAAATGGTGTTATACAAACCCAAAACCAAGCTTTGCATTTTTTTTAAAAAAACACTGTCACAGTTTTTCTCTCTTTGTTTCGTTGGATTCTGCTGTCTGAGTTTCAGGCAGACGTACTTGAACACTACAATAGATGTGTCAAAAAAATAACAGATTCTTGACATCCTTTAAATTCTACCACTCCTCCCGTCGATCTAAATTCAGAGCATGTTATGTTTTGAGTTTGTGTTTTGTGTGTTCACAGTTGAACAGAAAGAAAACAGCATGCCAAAGTGTTTACCTGTTTTTGTATCTAAATTAGAAATACTGGGTTTTGATTGGCTCTTCCACTGCCTCAACGCAACATGCGACAAAAACGTCTTGTAAGCAGTAACACAATGTGTGCCAAATGAGGCTTCCACTGAAAGTCTGCAGCACATTCGAGTGACCGTTCGACGTCACAGTTCCTAATATCTGTACATTTTCTCTGTACAAATACAACGACTCAGTTCTGTAGTTTAAAGTGGATTTTGATCTTTTTGAAGAGATTTCATTTCATGTCTGATTTCTTTTAAACTTAGTGCCATGTTTCAGATTGCTTTGTGTTGATTTGTATTGCTTTAATCACAGGATGTACACAAAATCTCTCCTCTTTTTTTTTGTTAAAGCTTTGACGACCCAGCTGACCGATTTCTCCCCCCCTGTGATCTATGCAAATCATGCTCCGGTGTCCACCCCTCCCCTCCCCCTTTAGAGGCTGAAAGATGATGTTGACTGATGATGTGTAAATACTGTAAAAAAAAAAAAAAAGTGACGGGTTGGAAAAAATGCAGAGGTGTGTGAAATAA